TGTCATCTACCTCGGTTGTATATCTAGACACACCACATGTAGGACAAACATCTAAACCACTGTTATGTTTCCAATACAAAATGCAGTCATTTTCACATGCATGGATCTTTTGGTGAGGCAACATGAATTTTTTCAGCAATCCCTTTGTACTCATCACCTTCTTCGGTAAAGAATGACCATTTGGGAGTATATGTTTGAGAAGCTGAAGATTAGCTTGTACTGCACTTTCGCTGCACCCATATAAGCACTTGTTTTGAAATACTCGTATTAGGAAATCCATTTTCTTCATACCACATCCCGGATATAATTCCGTATTTGCATCTTGCACCATGGCTTCAAACTTACGTGCATATGCAGGTATTGAAGCTTCCTGCTCGCTGTGATTATTAATAGGCATGCCACCCATCACACTGGGACCAGAGAAAATATCTTCAAGCAAGGGGCGTAGTTCAGAATGAGGAGTATTAATAGCAGCAAGTTGTTGTGCAGCTTCGCTACTTGGAAGAGGGTCACCAAATGTCTCTCCATGCCATACCCACGAGCCTTGCAAGTATGAACGGTCCATACCTTCAACAATTAGATGCGCTTCGACTTCTTTATTACTCAACCAGAACCTATTCAAGCATTTAGCACACGGACATTTGATGTTCCCCTCATGAGAAGCAACTTCCAATGAGTTTGAGATAAATTTTGCTAGCCCTGTTCTGTAATCCTCTGTAAACGGATTGAAAGAGGCCCAACTTTTGTCCATCATCACTGAGTATAATCAATAGTTTCTAGAATTGGAACAACAAGGTGCCTAAAGATGAAAAAGGCAAGTAAAATATGTAACGTAAACAAATTAAGTAAATATAGTATGTGAATACTATATGGACAAAAATTTACATAAGCAACTGCAAGGGAGAGTATATTATTTTAGAAATCAATTTTTGTAAGTGGGAAAACAACTCCAATCGCATTTATGAGTGACATTGTATATATGAGTCTTGCACAGGATTTTAGGGTGCAGGGGATAGTAAGAAGGTCATAAAAGTCACCAAAAGAAGTTAAGGAAAAAGTTCATATACTGAGTAATGTCGGTCAGGCAGTCATTAGTTTAAAATGTAGAGGTATTTAGTATGTTTTGTATACAACATTTGTATAGTATTTGTAGGAATGTGAATCGTGTTTCATTCCAAATTTGTATCTATGTATAGAGGTTTAAGTGTTCCATTCTAGAATGGTTAAAAGTCCATTGTTCAAAACCTCACATATCTTGATTTGCACCATTTGATAAAAAGGCACGAATTGAAGGAAGATATATTTACCAAATGATTATTCACAGAAAAGCACAGTTAAGAAATGATTATTCACAGAAAAACACTTTTACCAAATAATCAGGCAAGCATTTGAATTGTATTCATTCTAAAAACAACTGAAACACAAGTTAAAATAAATAAACAGATAGATAGGCTTAAGCACTAGATTGCAAATATTTCCCTGAAGCTTATAAAATTAGGTGCGGAAGAAGTTAGGGACAGGAAGAGATGCAGGAACCTTGAAGTGGAGTTGAAGGGATTCTTCAAGACGTAATCCGTGTACAGCTCATAGATATGTTTCAAGAGACCTTCCATGTGCTGTGTCCCAGGCTCAGAGACAACAAAGAACTTTGTCCCTGCAAATAATGAAGGTATATCATCACTTTCACAATCCAAGACATTGTAAAAATTTATAGTAAATTTTTTTCTTCCCAGGATAAATTGAACAGCCACAGGAAAAATGAAATTGAGACCAACATCCTGTTCGATAAAAAAGTCCCAATTCAAAAGGAAAAAAAGCCAAGCCCAAAATAACAGACTCAATTACTCTAAAAACAGAAAACAATAAAACTTGTCAACACTGAAACAAACAGTAACTTCGTGCTGAACACTTTCTAAACCAGGCAGATGGACCCGAGTCGACATCCTAGCTACTAAACCAACTCATTCGCCTTACAAAATTCAAGTATAGCAGTTGTCAAGACGTGTAATATGTACGGTAAGCTTGTATCATTAGAGCTACTTTTTGCTTAAGAAGTATAGCAGTTGTCAAGACGTGTAATATGTACGGTAAGCTTGTATCATTAGAGCTACTTTTTGCTTAAGAAGAAAAACAAACGAGTAAAATGGTATCATAGCAGAAAGTACAGAACTCAGAAAACCCAATATTCACTACAATAATATGACGCAAGTCAAAGCGGATTGGTAAATATAGAAACTAGAAGGAGCAAAACAAAAGGTTTCACCCTTTCTATAACCAGACCAAAGAAGATCCTAATTATGTGGAAATTGATAACATCACACAAGATCATGTAGAGGAAAACACTTGTCCATAGCCCATCTTCAAAATACAGAACCACAAGATAAATGTTGCCGTTGACACCAAATGGCTTACAAGAAAGCACCACCATTAGTTGTGTCAATTAACGGATCAACTCACTCAATCCCAATATTTAGCAGTCACCACACTTGCGAAACTCTCGTTGTGTACCCATCTTCCAAATTACAGAACCACAAGACATCTGTTGCCTAAATCGTACACTAAATGGCTTATAACAACACTGCCATTCAACTTGCTCGATGACAATATTTAGCATTCACCTCAGTTATGAATTTATTCCCCCACCCCCGGTAATAACTATCATCCGCTAGATTACATCGTAAAGTGGTCCTAAACTACTGCAATGCACAACATAACTCACAAGTAGGACTAGCAACAGATAGATAACAATAATAGGCTTAAACCCTGTATGGTTTCCAGATTGTTCCAACTTGAACAGATAGAAGAAGCACTTCAAACTGAACTAACAAAAAACTCCAACCGAATCGCAGACATAATAAACAAATTGAAATGTTTAGTCTAAAAAATGCTGAATATTGAATTTGTGGAACACAAAATTACCTGTTTAGACTCCCCAAAATCAATCCAGTTGGTTGTAACCCCAAATTGATTGCAAGAAACCCAGCTGATAATAAATAATGAACTGAGGAGCTTAATTTGCTGAGAAATTGACAGGGCAAGGTATGCGAAGCAAATACCCAGCCGCGTGGGAGCGGACTTCCGTTGACCCCTCGAGTCGCCAACTAAACGAGGCCACTAAGCTTCTTGTCCGCTACGCCCTGTCCGCATTGCCCGACTGGGACTGGTTCGCAGAACCGGTCGACTTCATCACTGATGCAATAATGGCCGATACATGCGAGTAGGGTCGAAGGCTCTGTCCTTCTACGGGTTTTGGCTCTATCTCCCTTTTGTATTAGATGTGCATCCGTAGGTCCTGATAAGCAAAGATATATCCCAGCTTTATAAACAGAAATATTAACCTGCCCTGCCACACAAAATAAATTAAAAAATACATATGAAATTAAAAAGTAGAAGGAAATACAATTTAAGAAATAAAAATATTTAACAGCCACCAATGATTGGTGGTTGAATCTTGAAGGCGACCAACATCAGTGGCATCCCATGGTAAAGCCACCAAAAAATTGTAAGAGTAGCAACTTTACATATATGGCCACCAATTGCAAAGGGTGGGAAAAAATTGGTGGCCTATGAGGCAAATTCTAGTAGTGTAAAGTCATGAAGCTATTGAGGTCATGAGCAGCCGTTGATCCGTATTGACTCCACAATTGGATAATGTACAATTACATTTGCTGTTATTGATTAGCCAAATGCATCCTCTGGGTAAACAAATAAAGAAATTATGTTCACATATGATAAAATAATGAGACTGCCAAATGGCAGTTGACCGTTGCCTTTTTTCCTTTGCTTTTATCTAAAACTGCAAAGTTAGCTCAGCCTCCACCCACTGTCGCTGCCACCAATCGTATCCGTCTGACAACAATCTCACTTGCTATCCACCCCCCCCCCCCCTCTCGCCCCAACAAACCCCAAGCGTGACTCACACATTTGGTCATGCTAATCTTGCATTCGAGCTTCCAGGCGCAGACGCAGTCAGAACTGATCCAACTCGTAACTGTCGTATTCTGGTAATTAAACACGATTAATCGCAGGCCTCCGTCTAACGCCAGTTCCTCCTCCTGATTTTGCTGTTTTGCACCGCCCATCTCAGTCCCCGTCGCAACGGCTTACTGGCCAAACTCACATGTTTCTAAAAATATTTTCACCAAAAACGCTTTTAAGTCATTTTAAAAGCATATCCAAACGAGTTATTTATCTATTTGAATTTTTTTTGTCTATAAAAGATGGTAAAATACGTACTTTTATTATTCGGTAACTTATCAAATACGATACTTTGAAAATTTCGGCCATTTTATTTTTACATTTTAAATTTACTTAATTTCTTTAATATGTCAAAATACATTTATGATATGTGAATTTGATGTGTATTTTAAAAACAAATATGTCCAAAAAATGTATATTAAACTTGAAAATTACGTATGGATGTGTATAATATGTATATCATATGTTAGAGTTTAAGACGTGTATGAAAAATAAATTTAAAAAAAAATATATATATATATATATATACACATGTAAGTGTATTAGATGCATATTATACGCGAATTTACTAACATTTGTAGCATATTTTTCACGATTTACTAACATCTATAGCTTATTATACACAAATTTACTAATTATGTTGTAAATGTTTTTTTAATAGAAAAATAAAATTAGTTAAAGAGAGAAACTTCTAGTACAACTGTTTCCAGTATAATCAAACAGATAAACATTTCTAGCAATAATGGTCCAAATATAAGCATCCCATAAATATTTGACTTTTTTTTTCTTCATACAAACGATATCGAGTATATTTGTCTCCAAACAACGTTGGTTTATTTATCTTTTACTACACACAAACATTTTTGTTGAATGTCTCAAGAGACAAAGAAAGTAAAATTGCATTCATTCAAATCATGTACCCTTTCCCTCATAATTTGTTCTACTAAGTTCCCAACACACTCATTTACTATTTCCCTCCCACTCCCTCCCTAAAATCCTCACATATATAATACCCCCAAATATCAACACCCCAAACACACCTCACTCCCCCTTCTTTCTAGGAAGCAAAATCACAAGACAAACACAACATTTGACCAAAAAAATAACAACAATGCTTCTCTTCCTCCTCCCCCTCCTCCTCCTCCTCCCACCGCTCCCCACCACCCTCTCCCTCAACCAAGAAGGCCTCTACCTCCAACACTTCAAGCTCTCCCTCGACGATCCTGACTCCGCCCTCGACTCCTGGAACGACGCCGACTCCACCCCCTGCAATTGGCTTGGGGTCAAATGCGACGACGCCTCCTCCTCCTCCCCCGTCGTCCGCTCCCTCGACCTCCCCAGCGCCAACCTCGCCGGCCCTTTCCCCACCGTCCTCTGCCGCCTCCCCAACCTCACCCACCTCTCCCTCTACAACAACTCCATCAACTCCACCCTCCCTCCCTCACTCTCCACTTGTCAAAATCTCGAGCACCTTGACCTCTCCCAGAACCTTCTCACCGGCGCCCTCCCCGCCACCCTCCCTGACCTCCCCAACCTCAAATACCTCGACCTCACCGGAAACAACTTCTCCGGACCAATTCCCGACTCCTTCGGCCGCTTCCAGAAACTCGAGGTCCTCTCTCTCGTCTACAATCTCATTGAAGGCACCATACCCCCGTTTCTCGGCAACATTTCCACCCTGAAAATGCTCAACCTTTCCTACAACCCGTTTCTCCCGGGTCGGATCCCGGCGGAGCTCGGCAATCTGACGAACCTCGAGGTGCTCTGGCTCACCGAGTGCAACATAGTTGGCGAGATTCCCGACTCGCTGGGTCGTCTCAAAAACCTCAAGGATTTGGACCTCGCCATCAACGGCTTAACCGGCCGGATTCCGCCGTCGCTCAGCGAGCTGACCAGCGTCGTTCAGATTGAGCTCTACAACAACTCATTAACCGGCAAGCTGCCGCCCGGAATGTCTAAATTGACCCGGCTGAGACTCCTCGACGCGTCCATGAACCAGCTGAGCGGGCCAATTCCTGACGAGCTCTGCCGGTTGCCGCTCGAAAGCCTCAACCTTTACGAGAACAACTTCGAGGGGAGCGTGCCGGCGAGCATTGCGAACTCGCCTAACTTGTACGAGCTCAGGCTCTTCCGAAACAAGCTCTCCGGCGAGCTTCCCCAAAATCTCGGGAAGAACTCCCCTCTCAAGTGGCTCGACGTGTCTAGCAACCAGTTCACTGGCACCATTCCGGCGAGTCTTTGCGAGAAGCGACAAATGGAAGAGCTCTTGATGATACACAATGAGTTTTCCGGTGGGATCCCGGTGAGGTTGGGTGAGTGCCAGAGCTTGACCCGGGTTCGATTGGGTCACAACCGGTTAAGTGGGGAAGTTCCGGCGGGCTTCTGGGGGCTGCCGCGCGTGTACTTGATGGAGCTCGTTGAGAATGAGCTTTCTGGGGCGATATCGAAGACCATTGCCGGAGCCACGAACCTCTCGCTATTAATCGTAGCGAAGAACAAGTTTTCGGGTCAGATACCGGAGGAGATTGGGTGGGTGGAGAATCTTATGGAGTTTTCCGGTGGCGAAAATAAGTTCAATGGGCCGTTGCCGGAGAGCATTGTGAGACTCGGGCAGCTCGGGACTCTGGACCTCCACAGTAACGAAATCTCGGGTGAGCTTCCAATTGGGATCCAGTCTTGGACGAAACTCAACGAGCTCAATCTAGCAAGTAACCAACTTTCCGGGAAAATCCCAGATGGGATTGGGAACTTATCCGTGCTTAATTACCTTGATCTTTCCGGGAATCGATTTTCCGGGAAAATCCCATTTGGGTTGCAGAATATGAAGCTCAATGTGTTTAATTTGTCCAACAATCGGCTCTCAGGTGAGCTTCCACCCTTATTTGCTAAGGAAATTTATAGGAGTAGCTTTCTGGGAAATCCTGGTCTTTGTGGAGATTTGGATGGCTTATGTGATGGCAAAGCTGAGGTTAAAAGTCAGGGGTACCTATGGTTGCTTAGGTGCATCTTCATTCTATCTGGTTTAGTATTTGTTGTGGGGGTGGTCTGGTTTTACTTGAAGTACAAGAACTTCAAGAAGGCGAACCGAACGATAGACAAATCCAAATGGACGCTGATGTCGTTTCACAAACTGGGTTTTAGTGAGTATGAGATCTTGGATTGCCTTGATGAAGATAATGTGATTGGTAGCGGGGCGTCCGGGAAGGTGTACAAGGTTATGCTGAGCAGTGGAGAGGTTGTTGCAGTGAAGAAGCTTTGGGGAGGGAAAGTGCAGGAGTGCGAAGCTGGCGATGTTGAGAAAGGTTGGGTCCAAGACGACGGCTTTGAGGCGGAGGTGGAGACTTTGGGGAGGATTAGGCACAAGAACATTGTGAAGCTTTGGTGTTGTTGCACTACTAGGGACTGCAAGCTCTTGGTTTATGAGTATATGCAAAATGGCAGTCTCGGTGATATGTTGCATAGCATCAAAGGAGGGTTGCTGGATTGGCCTACAAGGTTTAAGATAGCTCTGGATGCAGCAGAGGGTCTTTCTTATCTGCACCATGATTGCGTTCCTGCGATTGTTCATAGAGATGTGAAATCCAACAACATATTGTTGGACGGCGATTTTGGAGCGCGAGTGGCGGATTTTGGAGTAGCCAAGGTGGTTGATGTGACTGGTAAAGGGCCTCAATCCATGTCGGGCATTACAGGTTCTTGTGGTTACATTGCTCCAGGTTAGTCAGAAAATTTTCTTACTGAACAAATTTCCGATTAAGTTTAGTTGAATTCGTATTGTATGTTGATCTTCTTGTTGAGATTTTAGATTTTGAAACTGACATTTCACGTTGTCTACTTACATTAGTTAAATTTTTACCCCGCCATTCTAATAATGTAAATGTAATCTTGTTGCAGAATATGCATACACTCTCAGAGTGAATGAGAAGAGCGATATATACAGTTTCGGCGTGGTTATTCTGGAGCTGGTGACCGGGAGACTCCCAGTCGACCCAGAGTTCGGAGAAAAGGACTTGGTGAAGTGGGTCTGCACCGCATTGGATCAGAAAGGAGTAGACAGTGTGGTTGACCCAAAACTTGAATCTTGTTACAAGGAAGAAGTCGGCAAGGTCCTCAACATTGGCCTCCTCTGCACCAGCCCTCTCCCAATTAATCGTCCGTCCATGAGACGAGTAGTGAAATTGTTGCAAGAAGTTGGCACAGAGAAACATCCCCAGGCTGCTAAAAAGGAGGGGAAATTGTCACCCTATTACTACGAAGATGCCTCGGATCATGGAAGCGTAGCTTGAGACATATGAAGTTCATATAGTTTTCTTGCAAACAAAGCAATGAGTGTGGGGGAAGTTTTTTATGTAAGCTTTATATTTCCAGTTTTTGAAGCTTTCTAAAATCCAACTTCCCAAATATCCCACCCTCCTCTAGGGTTTTGGTCTCAGAGAGCAGGGGAGGGGAAGAAGTTGAAGAGGAAGTAGATTAGAGGAGTAAAAGTTACGAGGGGGTTAAATTATTCCATACTGTAAAAGTAAGCTTAAGCAGTAACTTGCCCTCCTTCCCCAGTGAAAGTGATGTAAACACTGTTTAGTGATTGTGATTCTTTGTGTGAAATCAGTCAGGTGATTTATATGAAATGGGAATTGCTAAGACAATATTCTGCAATTATACCTGTTCCAGGTTTTAATGTTGTTGTGAGATTTGTACAGTGGTCTTTACCCCCTTAGAAGAACCCTATTGAGAGAACTTCACTCTGCACTTGGAACGTCACATGAGCGGCATTTATGCATTGTAAAGTACAGCGCATAACAAACGTAAAGACAATGCGTGATTAGCCTGAATATTTATACAATGCGGGGTTTAGTTACACATGATAGTGCGTGATTAACTTCAAATATCAAAACAATACCTAATTAGATAACACGTTTAAAAGAAGAGTGACAATCCCATGTGTAAGTAAGCTCATCTTCCATAAATAAGACAGGTAAGGTTTGGCCCTCACTGGGTCCTTTCCTGAGTGAAAAGTGACCCTTGTTTGAGCTGCCTCCTAAGGAAAATGACCAGCCAGGACTAATGAAATTGAAATTCCACCATAAAAAACTGAGTGAAAAGTGACCCTTGTTTGAGCTGCCTCGTATCGAAAATGACCAGCCAAGACTAATGAAATTGAGATTCTACCATAAAATCAATTGGCAAGATGGGGAGTAGCCCAATACCATATAAGCACATAGCAAACCTTGTCCCTCACCGATGTGGGACAACTCTTAACACGCCCCCGCACGTGTGGCGGATTTTCAAGCCTACACGTGGACAACGACTGGGTGACGTGGAGCGTGTGTGGCCGTCTGACTTCACACGAGGACAACTCGCTCTGATATTATAATGAAATTGAGGTTTTACCATAAAACCAATTGGCAAGATGTGGAGTAGCTCAATACCATATAAACACATAGCAAACCTTACACTCACCGATGTGGGGACAACTCTCAACAAGGACAACATGAGAGAGGGAGAGAGAGAGAGAGAGAGAGAGAGAGAGAGAGAGGGTGGTTGTCTGGTTGGTGGGATTGATTGTCCAGCAGAGGAAATTTAGTTAAAACTTTGGAAAAGTTGCTGAATCGAAACAAGCTCTGGGTGAGAGGGGAATCATGCAAATGGAAGCCGAAGAGGAAAGGTCAGGGACCGTACGCTGCTGCTACAGTGAGCTATAAAAGGCTAAATTAATGACCCACCCAAATGTGTGAACAAATTTGGTACCAGTTAATTCCGAGTTGTTCCATCCCGTGATTAAAATCCAAATCCATTCTCCACCATGGTCCATACAGTCTACATCCTTTCCAATGGATTCAATGCTGTGACTGCAGATTTAGGTCGGTGCATTTACCTCTTTGGTTATAATTAGTTACTTCACGCTGCAGCTGGCTTTCCCGTTTATCACAATTGTTTATATTATAAATTAGTATGTAAAAATTATTTTTATAAAAATTTAATTAAAACAAAAGTCGTTTAATCAATCAATTATAATAATAGATAGACGATTTATAATGTATTTAACAAATTCGTCAATTTGTTTTTGTATAGTTTGATGGATTGGGATCCTCGGAATCCTCTAATCCTAAGCTTTCAATACACTATGACAGATATTTTTTTTTCCGACTTGATTTTAACTGTTCATTGTGTTTTGAATGCTCCGGATTAGAGGATCTCGAAGATCCAGGGGAAGGGATTAAAAAGAGGATCCAAATCCTAGTTTGATGACCAAATGATCTCATATTTTAATGAATTTTTGCAAAGATGATTTTTAGAGAGTGATTCATAACATTAACAGTTTGGATCTTAAGCTTGTCCAACACTTTTTCCTACAAATTTCTCTCCTCCCATACATTTAAATAAGGTTATATCCTAATTCCTACCACTGGCCCTCAATGGCTATTTCACCCGAGCGTCAGAAAATTGTTAAAAAGAAATCCAATACAAAACATGGGCCTTATGGAGCCCATTTAACAGATAAATTGTAATCTATTGGGCCTTATCGAAATGAGAATCTGAAATTGGTAAGAACATAGTTCAATGCTCCTTCTCATACCAGGAAAGTTTATAACTCAACATAACCAAAATAAAATGGCAATTAACATGCAAAGACTATACGTATTTGTAGAGAGTTCGATATTTATTGGTGCAACGTATCTTTATAATTGACTTATTATCAATCAAGAAAAATAATCTTTAAAATTATTGATAAAAATAAACAAATAGTTGAGAATTGTGTTTTGTTTGTAGTCGTTTGTTTTGACTTGTTTATATTGCTGCTGCCTAACTAGACATATAATTATTAGTCTTGAATTAACTTAGAAAAGACGTTTACTGGTTTTAAGTTGTCCTATTTAAGGAAGGAGTTTACGAACTGTTAGATTAAAACATGAAAAAATGTGGTTAGAAAGAAATAAGCAAGAGCTTAGAGACAATACTGAGTTTAATTACAAACTATTTAAGTTCTCCTATTCGTATTTCTGACTGAAAAAATTACTATATTCACATTAACTTAGGATATTTTAGAGATATTAAGCTCCTTGAAGTCACATTTTAATCTTAATACTATTTTTTATTGCTTTTTCTATTTTAGGAGAAATTAAGGAACCCAAATCATACCTAAGCATGATCAAAGCACAAAATTTTCTAAGATTAAGGGCTGGTTTGGTATTGCTATGATTTGAAAAAAAACTGCTTCTACTGTGCTGTGAGAATAAGCAGCTGTGAAATAAAGCAGCAAAGTGTTTGGTAAACTTTTTTGTAAAAGTGCTTATGAAAAAAAAAACAGTATTATAGTGTTTGGTAAACTTTTATGTAAAACAAATGTGAAAAATCTGGTTTTTCAAAGCTGGGTTTTGCAGCTTTGTGTTTTTGACTTCTTTTTTTTCACCCAAAATTGTGAAAAAAAAGCTGAAGCTGAATGTTTACCAAACACCAAAAAACTCCCAACTTTTTTTGATACCAACTTTTTTCAGAATTACCTCGGTACCAAACCAAGCCATAGTCCTTGCGTTTTCCAAAAGTTTTCTCTGACATGGACTTGGAAATTAAAGATCACTTTCAAAATGATGATGAGGAGGAGGCCAACTATGAACCAACATATAACTAAACTATGACCCAGAGACTTCCAAGTTTCTTACCAATCCACCCTAGTCTAACTTTTTCTTACTTTCTCTTTCAAATTTCATCTAGTCTAACTCTTTGTTAGTTTGTAAGCTCACCATATTTGAAACCAATATTTATATATACGTACACACACACACACACATATATATATATATATATTATATCCATCTTCTTCTCTTCCCTTGTTTTCCAATCAATCTGATCAGACCAGATCAAAACATGATGAACCACAGTAAACATGTTGCCTATCTTATTATCATATCCTTACTTTGCACATCCACTGTTATTCTTGGTGCTGTCCTCACTCTCATCCTCCTCTGCAAGAAAAAACCAGTCCAAACCCAAGAAACACCACCACCAACCAAGCCTAGTGCTCAAGTGTATCCCTTGACCAACATAGATGTTGCCACAGACGGTTTCAATCATCGGAGAATTGTCGGAGAAGGCCGTTTCGGGACCGTCTATGCCGCCATATTCGAGAAGGGGCAAATAGCAGCGGTGAAAAGAATTCACTCTAGGCATGTTTTGAGCAATGCAGGTTTTGGGTTTTCTAGAATACTTAGGTCAATATCTCTAGCTCAGCACCCCAATATAGTGCCGATTATTGGGTACTCAGAAGGCCCAGGTGAGAGGATTATAGTGATGGAGTTTGTAGGCATGGTGTGCTTAGACTACTATTTGCATCAAAATTCAGATGGCGCGTCGTTGGACTGGAACCACAGGCTGAAGATTGCAGCAGGGGCAGCCAAAGGGCTTGAGTATTTGCATGAAGGGGTGGCTCCAAACATAATACATGGGTGTGTCAAGGCTTCAAATATTTTGATAGATGTCAACTTTTGTGCTAGGTTGTGTGATTATGGGCTATCGTTTTTGGCTCCCCAAGAGAAGAGAGGCCTGTTGGGACACGTGGACGACGAGTATTGGGATGGCGGGCTAGGAGGAGGAGGCGGCGCTTGCAAGGAAAGCGACGTGTACGGATTTGGTGTGGTTTTGTTGGAGCTTTTGAGTGGTAGGTTGTGTGACGAGGGGAGGCTTGTGAATTGGTCATTGCCATTGATCAAGGAAAAGAGGTTTAGTGAGTTTTTGGACCCCCGTCTTGCGATCCCTTCTGAGATTTTGCCTCTTGTTAGATTGGCTAAAGTTGCTACCGCTTGTGTTGGTAATTCCAGAAAAAGCAGGCCTTCAATTGGTCAAGTGGCAACTATTTTGAGCAGTTTGGAGATGGATTGAATTGGAAAGTATGACATGAAAACTATTTGGTTTCTTTTTTTCTTTAAATTCAAAGTGGAATTAATGCCACGACTTTTTGTTCAAAAAAAGTTGCTGTTATTAGTATATGATGAGAATTGGGTACCAAGCACGATTTGGAAATTTAGGGTTTTTTATTGTAATTGCGTTGTAACAAGTACACGTGCGAGTACGTTGTAGTATATTTCTAAAGAAAATATTTGGCTCGGTTATATCTTTTTACAGGCAAATGAGAATTAGACGTGTGTATAAGATAGTTTTTGTAATTTAAATTTTTTTATATGTATTAGATTGTAATTCGCAATTAAACAGTATAAACTGTAATTAAACAGTGTTGATTTGAAGAGGTGTTTTGAGGAATGATAAATTGAAATGTGGGCGGTGGCTTTGTCTTCTGAGCAGTGAATTTCATCTTGCTTTTGTGTTGATTGATCTTTTGGTGCCCAAAGGGACCCAATATTTTGTTTGTTTGTTTCAATCAATTTCTCTTTCTGTTGATTCTTTTGTTTGATTGTTATTGCTCATCTATTTGACTAAAAAATTCGTGTAAATAAATTACAAATTGATTTATTATCAATTGGTTGCATACTATCTAATCCAATCTACCGGAGATTCATATTGTTTATATGTTCACGGATGGTGGTTGAGTGTTCCAACCTGTCATGGTGGACATAAACATTGTATAATCTACGACATATATTGTTGTTAGAATTATTCTCCTGGTTTTGGCACTATCTAAGGGGTGAAAATAAGAGAGATGTCTATAATTCAATGAGTTTGTAATTTAAGATAGGGAGAGATGAAAACCTTTTCATCGATCTCCTGCTTGTGACTCCTATACATAAGCTAAATTGGTGGAAGAAAAGAAGACGAGAGGTATGACCCTTCGATATAGAACCCTCTATATCTTGTGACACGTGGAACGTGATATTTACTTTTATAAAGTCCTGATTAGAAATATTTGAATCCCGAATCTTAGGTGATTAAAAGCTTATAGTAATGGGAAAAAAATCTTTGTTATATGGGTTTGTTCACGCAGGAATGATTTTCACAAATATTTTTCTCTTCATGTATTCTTATTCATTTTTAATCTTTAAATCATATAAAGTAAAAAAATGATAAAAAAAAAAAAAAACAGGAATGTGCTGAAAACAATGTCCAAAAATTATTTCCATATTCACAAATATCTGTTTTCACAATGAATGTCAACATCCCTGGTGGAAATTTCGACCTCCGACAAGGATGGTGGGCAGAACATTCTGCCAATACATTCACATTTCCTAAGGTTTTACTAGAACAGTCTAAAAAAGAAATCAAATGAACAAGTGTTTAGAGCTCGTTTGGAAATACTTTTAAAATGATTGAAAACGCTTTCGATAAAATTGTTTTTGAAACTAATTTTATTAGTAAAAATGCAAGTGAATTTAAAAAAAAAACACTTAATTTGTAGCTTTGAACAATGGCTAGGTATGGGGTTTAGAGCTGGTTTGGTATTGTTATGCTTTGAAAAAAAAACTGCTTCTGCTGTGCTGTGAGAATAAACTCATTTTTGCTGCTTCACGTTTTCAGCTTTTTTTCACCTAAAACTGTGAAAATAAGTTGTTTTTAAGTGTTTACCAAACACCTTTTTGAGCTCAACTTTTTTTTGATACCCACCTTTTATAATAGCATCTCAGTACCAAACCAGTACTTAAACTCTTTTGGATGTGGAAGGAGTAGTTTTTCCCTTTTTTCTTCTAAAAAAGAAATCAAATAAAAACCTGTACCAACACAAGTAATGGGCTGAACAGATGCATTGAACACAAAGTCCCAATGCTTCGGGATATTCTGTAGCAACGGGTTGAACAGATAAATTGTAGTAGAAACTAGAAATAGCAATAACAATTTGACAGAGACGGAGAAATAAAGAGGAAAAGAAAAGAAAAGAAAGTTTTGCATTATTTCCATTGTTTGGATGATCGTGATTTATAAGAATGTTTCTCACGATTAATATTTGCTTTAGTCTTCTTTCTAAAGGAAGTTGTCATAAATGGTGATTTTACGGTCTTAAGGAGAAAATTTTGGATAGAACTGTCCAACCATGTTATCTGTAAGTCATTTTTGTAAAAAATAAGTAACCTCCTGAACTTTAGTTCTACTTGATCCCTTGTTGGTCTAATCCGACGTGGGAGTTGTCATTGTTAGGTAACTGCACCGAAGTTTTTCTCTTACATAAAGGCAAGGAAATATTGTTGAGCATCCGATATGAGAGTTGTCATTGCTAGATAACTGCACCGAAGATTTTCTCCTACATAAAGGGAAGGAAATATTGTTGAGCTAATCACACATAGTTTGTAATAGACATATAGCTTACGTAATTAAGGGTATCCTCTCTTCTTTAAAGTCTTTACAGAATGACAAATAAATCGAAGGGAGACTTTGGATGCGGTCCATAACTATGAATATTCTTTGACTGAAATTTTGTTGGTTTTCAATTTTTGATCGAAGTCCCCGAAATTAATGTGATAATTATTTATATGTATGTTACAATATTTTTAAATTAAAATTTTAAATTTATAGTTGTTTATATTAATGAGATTTTAAATAAAAACCATAATTTGTGGGAATAAAAATATTAAAATATAAATATACTATTGTGTGTGTGTCATATATAAACATGGGTACATTCATCAAAATTAACCAAAAAATTATTGTACCAAAACATGGGTACATTCTTCAAAATGACCAAAAAACAAGAAAAGATATTACACTTAATAATATTAGTAAATTTTTTCGATTAAACTTGACATGGATACATTCTCAAATCAAAGAAAAAAGAATGTATCCATATAAGTTTAAAAATGGATTAGAAAAAAATTGAATAGATTTTGTATAAAAAAAGGTACATTTTACATATAACAAATTGGTATATTTAAGAATGAGTACATTTTAAGATTAAAAATTTGAAAAAATTACATGAGTGGGTACATATAAGATTAAAAAATTGAAAACATTTAAAAAAAAAAAAGCTAATGGGTACAAACTTATTCTAATTTATTTATTTATTTTGGAAATGTTTTGAATTGAAAATTAGTTAGGAGTTTAATAAAGGTGTGAGTATTAAAATTCTAAATCAATTATTAATTTTTATTTAAAAAAATTATGTTACTGACATATAAATTCATTATTACATTAATGCTAGGAACTTTGATCAAAATCTAAAAACTAATAAGGTTTCAGTTAATGAATAGTAATAACTAAGGACCGGATACTAATTTTTCCTAAATCTAAACAAGAAGTTTATTTTTAAGGAGTTTGAAACTTACGCGATGAGCATTTAATCTTTCATTTAAGGTCATGTTTTCGATTCATCCCTCTCTAACATTGCTTGTATAACTTATACACAAATTCTCTTCAATATTCTCAACATTCATCAGTCTCTTTCCATGCATGTTGCAAACCTGTTAGTACATGATCCCAACAAACAAGAAAAATAAAATAAACCAAAAAGACCATTTGGCTTAATCCAAGTCAAATCTCCTTGTATTCAAGAAAATCTCATCTCATCCAACCCAAAGTCATGTTCAATTGACAAAATGGTCAATATTTGGAGACTTAGAGTACTACCTTTTTTCTACGCGGCTTTGCCAAGTTAAATCCAAATTGTTGTTAATGTTAGTTATCACGGGATGGCTTAGTGGTTGGGGACAAATTTTAGGCTCATATTTCACACAGCACATCTTGAATTCAATTCCTAGCAATGGTGAATCGCACGATCGTGGTCAGGAGGGGATTGAAATGCCTCTGTGAGTCTTCCTAAGCTCTAAAAATGTAGGTTGCCGTGACCAAACCACTAGCTAGTCCCCTCATAAATGAAATAAAAAATTTCTGTTAATGTTTCCCAAAAGTAACCCAAGTGGTGCAAAAGGTCTTTGATTCCCATGCAATCATACCTACTTATGAAACTTAATTGGTTACTCATCAATTTCAATGTATTTTCTTTCATATAAATTCATCTTTTGACTATGACTTTGAATTAAACTCGAGCTTAATTTGTTAATTTAGACCCAATTAATTTGTTTTCAAGCTGATCAGGGTCTGAACAAAAACAAAACGACAGACAAGTGGAAGAACATGAGACCGTTTTATGTATCCATCGGATAACTGGATTGGGCAACAACTTGACAAAGTCCCAAAAACCCTATAACCCACACGTTAAAGGTATCACAAAAACACAAAGCAAATATCCTAAAAGCCCAAAGCTTCGTGCTTAAGCTTCCAGTTGCGTGGCTTCTTTGAGAAGCTCACATATATGTATATGTCGGCTGGTACAAGCAGTATATACGACTGGGAACTTCTTCCCTGCAACAACGTCCTTTTCTGCAATGGAAGACACCATCCTATCATCCAATGACACAAGTCCATCTGGCGTAGTATTGCATGTGGAACATGGTGGTTGGAAGAGGTGGATTGTAACTATTGCGGTTGGAGGCGGTTGCAGTGGATATTTGCTCAAATAAATATGAGGGTGAACATCGTAGCCTCGTAATCGTGCTGCCTAAGCCAAAAGTGACATGTATTGCATACCCATACTAATCGGTTTTCTGAATTAATCACAATATTAATTTGTTGGCAAATACGTCGAAAACGACCCATAATCAATAATAAAATAAATTAACAAAGACTGATTATTGCATGACAAGTATTACCATTGCACTGAAACATATGTGACATTATTAATTAATTAGTAATTACTGCAAAGACAGAGAACATTTTATCGAAAGCACCAACCACCCTTCATCTGCAAATGTGTCTTTTTTAGAGAGAGAGGGAGAGGGAGAGGGAGAGGGAGACAGTGATTCCTTGCTTGCCATTAGAAGTCTACGCGAAGAAAGGGAGAAATGGGGCATAAATACAGCAGCAAAGAAGTTGGTATTGTATGAATATTTTTCGATCCCAAAAATGTTAATTTATATATGTTTAAGACTATAAGTAGTTTGTTTTGGGGTTCGTTCGTATGTAAGTGTCCATGAAAATGTACATATATCTTTAAGGACAATCTAGGTTGACACTGCAGCTAAAGTCCCAACTCTAACCCTAAATACCAAAACCCTCCTCTCCCTTCCTCTCTTTCTCTCTCTGAAGAGGTAAAACGTCCCCAAAAGAATCAGGTTGCCCCCCTCTCCACTCTAGCCACCCTTTTTTTTTTTTATCTTTTATAAAATCCTTTTCTCATTATTTTTACTCATTCAGTATGCCTTATTTATAATTAACACCATTCCATAAGTAACTTTTTTTTTAATTATGGTTTAATTAAACACTCCTTTTAGGACAGAAGAGTGGTACCCTTAGGGAAAAACAAAAGGAGGAACCAATTAATTAAATATAAGGACTACACGGATTCTATTGTACAAGTGTATGTACACAAGCATAACCAAACTTGACGTTCAAGCAACCTTTTCTATTTCTAGAAATTCATTCTTCTACCCGTTCTTTATTTTATATAGTAGCTTAACTTGCTACCCTTTGTTCGACTTCTCTTTTTCCTCTCTCTCTCTCTTCTCTCTCTCTCTCTCTCTCCCCATCTGTTTTTTACGGAGGCAGTTCTGTGGGAAGAGATAATATCATAAGAGAAGAGAAAACAAATGGGAGGAGAAAGATCAAATAGCAATTTTATTATTCCATCCAAACATCAATATTGAAGAAGAAGATGAGCAACAAAGTGGATATGGTTATGGAAAACGTGCTTTAAAAGTGACAAGCTTGCTGGTTGCTTGTCTGCTTTGCTTGCTTTTAGGTCTTTTTTTTTTTTTTTTTTTTTTTTTTTTTTTTTGAGTTTTGCTTAATATTTTGAGAGCTTCTTTTGTGTGTATATTTGGAAGAGGTGGAGGAAATAACAAGAAGATCTGGGGTTTGGAATGAGCCTCAAAGAAAAAACGGCAGAGATCAGATCATGACATGGTGCAACGACTCCGACGATGAGAGGGCCATTCAGATTATCGGCGCCCCTCCTCCTAATAACCCTAATAATCCAAATGAATTTCGGAACATAACTTGCCCCTCTTGTGGACATCACATAGAATTCCAAGACCAGGTATTAGAAATTCACTTAGTATTGTGTATATTTGGAATCGATGACCTATTGTTGTTAATTTGTTCAATTAAATTTTACTCTAACTATTTGATTTCTACATGAATTAATTGTTTGTTATCATTTCTTTTGTTTTTTTCGTTTGTGTGATGTTATACAGGCAGGAATCCATGATTTGCCTGGACTACCAGCAGGAGTGAAGTTTGATCCAACTGACCAAGAAATTCTTCAACATTTAGAGGCAAAGGTTTTGTCTGATACCAGAAAGCTGCATCCTCTCATTGATGAGTTCATACCAACGCTTGAAGGGGAGAATGGGATTTGCTACACTCACCCAGAAAAGCTACCAGGTTACTAATTATTTTGTTTGTTTGTTTGTTTGTTTTAATTTTTTGCTTTTCTGAATAAAACCCTATCTAGGAATAGTAATGAAGAAGCAAATCACGGGTATTAATTAATTAATTAATTAATCCTCATTCATTTGATTGCAAAGCTGACGGATTTGATCCCAAAACATACTCTAGGAATATTTTTGTTCACCGTCCTCAAGTGATGGCGATGCTCATCACATTATTTAATCACCATTAGATGTGTTTAAATTTCGAGATCTGTCTGTATAGATATACACAAATACCAAAATTTAAACTCAAACAATGGTGATAAATAGAGTGGTAAGCATTACTATCACTTGAGACTAGTGAGCAAAAGTGCACCCCTCAAATATACTTGACATCTTATTTTATTTTACTTGGGATTATGTATTTTATTAGTTAAACGTAAGACCTGACTTTCAGAGCTAAATATTCTTAACCGCTTGAACTTGCATATACATCTCTATTTTTAGATGTCAAAATGAAACAAACATATAACCAGCACATGTAGTGTTTGCTTGCTTCTCCTTCTAAAATCATTCAAGTTAATATGTTTGTGTTTCATATATAATCTTCTCTTTTCAAGCATGTTTTATGCATGTGAATGCACAAGTTGGCTATTTGGATGTTATACTAAACGACATCACATATATATATATATATATATATATATATATATAGTCTTACAACCTTAATTAGTCTGCTTTCTTATTTTATATAGCCATGCACCGCTATGTCTTAGTTTTATCATGTTAATCTTTAATTTTCTTCATCGAGTTGTGACACCATTTATGGATTAATTTGTTCAACTTACCCTCAACTTTTCTTTTGTAATTGAAATTTTTACGTGATAAAAGTATACCAAATTTTATTTGGGCATCTGACGTCCATGCAGGAGTGAACAAAGACGGACAAATCCGCCACTTCTTCCACCGTCCATCGAAGGCATACACGACTGGGACCAGAAAGCGAAGGAAGGTTCACACCGAAGAAGATGGAAGCGAAACCAGATGGCACAAAACCGGCAAGACAAGGCCGGTTCTTGTCGGCGGAGCAGTGAAGGGTTTCAAAAAGATCTTAGTCCTCTACACCAACTATGGGAGGCAAAGAAAACCAGAAAAGACCAATTGGGTCATGCACCAATACCACCTTGGCAACAATGAGGAGGAGAAAGATGGTGAGCTGGTGGTCTCAAAGGTCTTTTACCAAACACAGCCTAGGCAATGTGGATCAAGTAAGGACGTTCCAGCGTTTGATCATCACAAAGGTGTGAATATAAGAGGTGGGCAAGGGCATGATGGTCTGATTAGTGCTGCTACTAACCCTCTTCCTCCAGCAAAGAAGGCAGGTCTTGTGGAGTACTATGATCCTGGAGGTCCCTTCATTAATTATGATCATCATCAACATAATCATAATCAAGGGGGCGATAATAGAGAAAGCCCACCTCAGCTAATCCCAAATTTAGTTGTCCAAGGTGACGGGTCTTCGTTTATTCGATTAACTTCAGATGCAAGCAAAGGGAAGCTTGAGAGGAAATAGTGTGATTTGACAATATTGGATATGGATGGAAGAGCTCTTTTTTTTTCTAGGATGGTGCTTTCCACACACCTATTTTTACCTTCCACACAACTCTCTTAATTTTCGGCCGTCGGATCGATTGGTTTGAAGATGATCAAATGATAGAAATTAACAAAAAGCGTGTGGAATGTAAAAAAATATTTGTGAATAGCATCAGTCTTCTTCAACCGAGGTAGTTTTATACACATAGCTAGGGTTTCGGTGGATTACTACTACCGTGATCAAATAAGTTAATGATTACAATATTGAGATTTTTGGTGACTAAAAACAATAAGAAATTAAGGAGAATATGTTATACAATTATATTGGGTATTTTTAATCCATATTAATGTATTAATATATTGTGATCGTGGATTTTATGATGATGAGCAGTTAATTGGTGGTTAAGATGATTTTTTTCTTTTGGAAATGTATATATTGACATGATTATACAAACTTTTGTATCTGATTAATTTGTCTCACAGGACATTAGAGCTGAATAGTTTCGGATGGCCACAGTCGGATAACATAAATCGATCTTATGTAGCTATGGAGTTTGATTAGAGATTTTTTATACATAAATCGATCTTATGTAGCCGACATTCACCTCTCCCAGACCCTGCGTAAAGCGGGAGCCTTGTGCACTGGGTACGACCTTTTATATAAATTTTAATATTCTTTTACTGTAGTCTGACATATATTTCGTCTATGTGAGTGTGAGTGTGTGTGTGTAAGATAATGGACCTGTCAAATACGATGATTCATACAGCCTATGAGAGAAAGCACTTTTGGAATTTGTCAAACAAATAAGAATTAAGTTCACAAAAAAAAAAAATAATAATAATAATCAGCAATTTTTGCATATTAATACTTCAAGAGAGTCATCCGTCATGGAAAGTCTAAGCGAAGTTAATTTGTTTTAATTTTATATACATGACTCTTTTGGTTCGAGCGGTAGAATGAATGGATTAAACCACATGATGAGTAATCATAATAATTGGTATTGAGCGCATCATTAATGACAGTTGAATCTAGACCTCTCACTTATAAGTGAATGAAGAACACTATTAGACTGTAGTACTAAATTACAACTTTGAAAGCTTGACTTGAATATGAGAATACAACAATCATGAACATTTCATTGAGAATCAAAGAAAATTCAAAGATGAGTAATACTAATGCTACATTTATTATAATTTTCATACTATTTTTGTATTACCTCTCGAATAGAGACATCACTCATCAATGCACACAGATAATAGAGGTGATATAAATGTTGTACGAGAAACTTGATAAGTGTAGCAATTTTGATAAAAAAAACCTTTTCTATTTGTCTACAGTAAATTAGGTGAAAAATTCATATCCATTGGCATTGAAATATTGGAGAAAAAAATTGTGTAGAGCTCGACTTGCCACTAAACTTTGTTGAGTAGTATTACAATCTACTTAAAACTCATCACATGATAAGTTTTAAATATAATATGTTATCATTTCCTATCATTCTTCTATTTTAATATTTTATAATTATCTATTTTACCAATTAATATACACCATAAGATTTATCTGACCGTCATATTTTTCCCTCTCCTCCTCCCTCTCCTTTCCCTTCCCTCCCTGCTGTTGCAGACATGCAATCTTCTTCAACTATCATAAAACTAAAGGAAAAATAAAATAAAGGACAAAGTAAATAGTACCAGGATTGACTGTTTAGTGTAAAAATGTGGTTTTTCATTAACACAACAACAACAACAACAACAAAGCCTTTTCCCACTAAGTGGGGTCGGCTATATGAATCCTAGAACGCCATTGCGCTCGGTTTTGTGTCATGTCCTCCGTTAGATCCAAGTACTCTAAGTCTTTTCTTAGAGTCTCTTCCAAAGTTTTCCTAGGTCTTCCTCTACCCCTTCGGCCCTGAACCTCTGTCCCGTAGTCACATCTTCGAACCGGAGCGTCAGTCGGCCTTCTTTGCACATGTCCAAATCACCGGAGCCGATTTTCTCTCATCTTTCCTACAATTTCGGCTACTCCTACTTTACCTCGGATATCCTCATTCCCAATCTTATCCTTTCTCGTGTGCTCACACATCCCACGAAGCATCCTCATCTCCGCTACACCCATTTTGTGTACGTGTTGATGCTTCACCGCCCAACATTCTGTGCCATACAACATCGCTGGCCTTATTGCCGTCCTATAAAATTTTCCCTTGAGCTTCAGTGGCCTACGACGGTCACACAACACGCCGGATGCGCTCTTATACTTCATCCATCCAGCTCGTATTCTATGGTTGAGATCTCCATCTAATTCTCCGTTCTCGTGCAAGATAGATCCTAGGTAGCGAAAACGGTCGCTTTTTGTGATCTTCGCTAGATTGCTCCGGTCATTAGTGTGGATAAGTATATAAATGGATAGAGATAGGAAAGCAAACACAAGATGTACGTGGTTCACCCAGATTGGCTACGTCCACGGAATAGAAGAGTTCTCATTAATTTTGAAGGGTTTACACAAGTACATAGGTTCAAGCTCTCCTTTAGTGAGTACAAGTGAATGATTTAGTACAAATGACATTAGGAAATATTGTGGGAGAATGATCTCGTAATCACGAAACTTCTAAGTATCGGAGTGTGGTGTCGTCTTGACTTGCCTTATCTGTCTCATAGGTAGATGTGGCATCTTCTCTTGGAAGTACTCTTCCTCCATCCAGGGGTGGTATCTTTAACTGGTGGAGATGCACAAGGTAATGTATCAATTTCACTTGAAGCTTACTTGTAGTTTCAGGCTTGGTCAAGCGCGATACAAACCATGTAGTAGGAGTCCCCCAAGTCGCCGAGCTAGGGGGTCTGCTGAAAGAGGTGACAGACAAGGTAAGCAATCAGAGCTCCGACTGATTGTTCACCTTCTCCCCATCTTGCAGCAGCATGAAGGATAAAGAGAAGAAAAATGAGAAGAGATGATATGAGATATACTTTTGCTTTTGAAGAAGTAACTTTCCACAGGCTTATTCTTGAACTGAGCTGGAGGGTTTTCTGGTTTCCTCCAGAGTATAAGGCCGACTGAAGAAATTTGAGGGTCAAAACAAGTCCATCAAATCTAGAGTACGTTCCACCCTGCTGATATGGGATACTTTTGCTTTTGACAGAGTAATGGATGTATCGGCACGTGTGCTGTTACGCTTGTCTCCACATGCTTCCTTGTATCCTTCGCACTTGCCCTATCTGTTCCTCAAGCAGATGCGGAATCTTCCCTGGAAACATAAGATGTTGAAGATGAGTACTCGAGAGCAATGCCAGGTAAGTAATCAGGTAAGGGGTTCCAGGCAGTCAGTTCCTGGCTGGAAGCTTGATTCCAAGTGCTGACTGATTGCTCTCTTTCTCCTTGTCTTGCAGGTAAAAACAAGGCCAAAGGAAAAGACAGGGAAAAAGCATGATATGGGATACTCTTGCTTTTAACCCTGATGATATGAGATATTCTTGCTCTAGTATAGCTTGTTTGCAGAGGTATTATCGGGGGGAAAGAAAGCTGAATATTTCGAAAGGCTTCGTTGGGAGTGCCCTCTCAGATATGATGAAGGGTTGAGCATTTTTGCAGGTCTGCCTGTCCGTTGGGGATGGAGGTCGACATATATAGGAGTCTCCCTAACAACAAGTAGTAATGCTATTCCTTTACCCTGCTTGGTCATAGCACGGTAGTGGGAGCTGCCAGTTTCACATGTTTTAACTCTGTCAGAGCACTTTGAAAAAGTGGTCTGTGGTATCTGGCTCTCGAGATTCGGAGAACGATGCCTCTTCGATTTTTTGAGAAAGCAATCATGCTGGGGGTCTGGCTCTCGAGATTCGGAGAGCAGTGTCTCTTCGATTTTTGAGGAAGTAATCATGTTGGGAGTCTGGCTCTCGAGATTCGGAGGGCGGTGCCTCTTCGATTTTGGAGCAAGCAATCTTGTTGGGAGTGTTGTCTCGAATGTGAGTAAAGGTTGGGCATGTTTGCTAGTCTACCTTGCCACGAAGCACAAAGGTTGACACACAGGGACTTTCCAATTATCCAGCAATGGTACTGTTCCTTTACCCTCTCTTCGATTTTGAGAAAGTAGTCATGTTGGGAGTCTGGCTCTCGAGATTCGGAGGACGGTGCCTCTTCGATTTTGGAGCAAGCAATCTTGTTGGGAGTGTTTTTTCTCGAATGTGAGTAAAGGTTGGGCATGTTTGCTAGTCTACCTTGCCACGAAGCACAGAGGTTGACACACAGGGACTTTCCAATTATCCAGCAGTGGTACTGTTCCTTTACCCTTGTGGGTAATAATATGGTAGCTAGACCTTCAAAATTTATGTGTCTAAACTTTGTTAGTGCTGTTTCTTTGCTATTCTTTTACCTTTCTTGGTCAGAGCGATGTAGTGGGAGCTGCAAGCTTCACGTGCTCAACTTTGGCAGAGAACTTTGGCAAAGTTATCTGTGGTACCCATGAGCTATTGTTGCGTGTGGGAAGTGGGTGATTGAACAGTAAGATTCATGTGCTTTCTACTTCACCAGAAGTCTTCGACAGAATGCCCATAATTTCTGCAAAGCTTGAGTGTGCGTGTGACAGGTGCTGACAAGGCTAGAAAAGTAGGTGCCTCTTCGATTTCTGAGATCGGCCCTCGTGGTCTCTGAGCAGCCCAGCTTTTGAGAAAGCGAGCGCCTCTTCGATTGATTCGGAGAACGATGCCTCATCGATTTTTGAGAAAGCAATCATGCTGGGGGTCTGGCTCTCGGAGATTCGGGGAGCAGTGTCTCTTCGATTTTTGAGAAAGTAATCATGTTGGGAGTCTGGCTCTCGAGATTCGGAAGGGCGGTGCCTCTTCGATTTTGGAGCAAGCAATCTTGTTGGGAGTGTTTTCTCGAATGTGAGTAAAGGTTGGGCATGTTTGCTAGTCTACCTTGCCACGAAGCACAGAGGTTGACACACAGGGACTTTCCAATTATCCAGCAATGGTACTGTTCCTTTACCCTCTCTTCGATTTTTAAGAAAGTAGTCATGTTGGGAGTCTGGCTCTCGAGATTCGGAGGACGGTGCCTCTTCGATTTTGGAGCAAGCAATCTTATTGGGAGTGTTTTCTCGAATGTGAGTAAAGGTTGGGCATGTTTGCTAGTCTACCTTGCCACGAAGCACAGAGGTTGACACACAGGGACTTTCCAATTATCCAGCAGTGGTACTGTTCCTTTACCCTTGTGGGTAATAATATGGTAGCTAGACCTTCAAAATTTATGGGTCTAAACTTTGTTAGTGCTGTTTCTTTGCTATTCTTTTACCCTTCTTGGTCAGAGCGATGTAGTGGGAGCTGCAAGCTTCACGTGCTCAACTTTGGCAGAGAACTTTGGCAAAGTTATCTGTGGTACCCATGAGCTATTGTTGCGTGTGGGAAGTGGGTGATTGAACAGTAAGATTCATGTGTTTTCTACTTCCCCAGAAGTCTTCGACAGAATGCCCATAATTTCCGCAAAGCTGAGTGTGCGTGTGACAGGTGCTGACAAGGCTGGAAAAGTAGGTGCCTCTTCGATTTCTGAGATCGGCCCTCGTGGTCTCTGGGGAGCCCAGCTTTTGAGAAAGCGAGCGCCTCTTCGATTTCTGAGATCGGCCTTCGTGGTCTTTGAGCAGCCCAACTTTTGAGAAAGCAAACGCCTCTTCGATTTCTGAGATCAACCCTCGTGATCTCTAAGCAGCCCAGCTTTTGAGAAAGCAAACGCCTCTTCGATTTCTGAGCAGGCGCCTCTTCGATTTCTGAAGCTCCGTCGAGTGCAGATTTTTATAGGGGCTGGCATTAAGTTCCAAAGCACACTTGAATCTCCACCAGTAGAAGCTTCATTCTTGCACTTCTAAGATCTTGATTTGTCCGACCTCTTCTCTCTTCAACACCTTTGAAAATGTCTGGCCCCTCCGACCGTCGTTTTGACTTGAACCTTGTTGAAGAGGCAGCCCCGCCTTCTCCAGACAACATATGGCGCCCATCCTTCGTCTCCCCTACTGGTCCTCTTACCGTTGGGGATTCCGTGATGAAGAATGATATGACCGCTGCGGTGGTGGCCAGGAACCTTCTCACTCCCAAAGATAACAGACTACTTTCCAAACGGTCTGATGAGTTAGCTGTTAAGGATTCGCTGGCTCTCAGTGTTCAGTGTGCAGGTTCTGTGTCTAATATGGCCCAACGCCTATTTGCTCGAACCCGCCAAGTTGAATCATTGGCGGCTGAAGTGATGAGTCTCAAACAGGAGATTAGAGGGCTCAAGCATGAGAATAAACAGTTGCACCGGCTCGCACATGACTATGCTACAAACATGAAGAGGAAGCTTGACCAGATGAAGGAAACTGATGGTCAGGTTTTACTTGATCATCAGAGATTTGTGGGTTTGTTCCAAAGGCATTTATTGCCTTCGTCTTCTGGGGCTGTACCGCGTAATGAAGCTCCAAATGATCAACCTCTGATGCCTCCTCCTTCTAGGGTTCTGTCCAGTACTGAGGCTCCAAATGATCCCCCTCCGGTGCCTTCTCTTTTCTGGGGCTCTACCGACTGCTGAGACTTCTCCTAAGCAACCTTTGTGAAGGCTCCCTCTTGTGTGTTTATTTTGACTCATGTATATGTACATATTTGTAGCTTATCGGGGATATCAATAAATAAGCTTTCCTTCATTTCAACGTATTGTGTTAAATACACCAAAGCCTTCTTCGCTAAGTTCTTTGAATTTTCTTTTGTTGAAGCTTGTATGTTGAAGCTTTCTGAGTGGAGCATGTAGGTTGGGGTAGTGTTCCCTTAATTTCCCGAGTGAGGAAAACTTCTCAGGTTGGAGACTTGGAAAATCCAAGTCACTGAGTGGGATCGGCTATATGAATCTTAGAACGCCATTGTGCTCGATCCTGTGTCATGTCCTTCGTTAGATCCAAGTACTCTAAGTCTTTTCTTAGAGTCTCTTCCAAAGTTTTCCTAGGTCTTCCTCTACCCCTTCGGCCCTGAACCTCTGTCCCATAGTCGCATCTTCTAATCGGAGCGTCAGTAGGCCTTCTTTGCACATGTCCAAACCACCGTAACCGATTTTCTCTCATCTTTCCTTCAATTTCGGCTACTCCTACTTTACCCCGGATATCCTCATTCCTAATCTTATCCTTTCTCGTGTGCCCACACATCCAACGAAGCATCCTCATCTCCGCTACACCCATTTTGTGTACGTGTTGATGTTTCACCGCCCAACATTCTGTGCCATACAGCATCGCCGGCCTTATTGCCGTCCTATAAAATTTTCCCTTGAGCTTCAGTGGCATACGGCGGTCACACAACACGCCGGATGCACTCTTCCACTTCATCCATCCAGCTTGTATTCTATGGTTGAGATCTCCATCTAATTCTCCGTTCTTTTGCAAGATAGATCCTAGGTAACGAAAACGGTCGCTCTTTGGTATTTCTTGATCTCCGATCCTCACCCCTAACTCGTTTTGGCCTCCATTTGCACTGAACTTGCACTCCATATATTCTGTCTTTGATCGGCTTAGGCGAAGACCTTTAGATTCCAACACTTCTCTCCAAAGGTTAAGCTTTGCATTTACCCCTTCCTGAGTTTCATCTATCAACACTATATCGTCTGCGAAAAGCATACACCAAGGAATATCATCTTGAATATGTCCTGTTAACTCATCCATTACCAACGCAAAAAGGTAAGGACTTAAGGATGAGCCTTGATGTAATCCTACAGTTATGGGAAAGCTTTCGGTTTGTCCTTCATGAGTTCTTACGGCAGTCTTTGCTCCTTCATACATATCCTTTATAGCTTGGATATATGCTACTCGTACTCCTTTCTTCTCTAAAATCCTCCAAAGAATGTCTCTTGGGACCCTATCATACGCTTTTTCCAAATCTATAAAGACCATGTGTAAATCCTTTTTTCCCATCTCTATATCTTTCCATCAATCTTCGTAAGAGATAGATTGCCTCCATGGTTGAGCGCCCTGGCATGAACCCGAATTGGTTGTCCGAAACCCGTGTCTCTTGCCTCAATCTATGCTCAATGACTCTCTCCCAGAGCTTCATTGTATGACTCATTAGCTTAATACCCCTATAGTTCATGCAATTTTGTACGTCGCCCTTATTCTTGTAGATAGGCACCAAAGTGCTCGTTCGCCACTCATTTGGCATCTTCTTCGTTTTCAAAATCCTATTGAAAAGGTCAGTGAGCCATGTTATACCTGTCTCTCCAAAAATTTCCACACTTCGATTGGTATATCGTCTGGGCCTATTGCTTTTTTTTATGCTTCATCTTCTTCAAAGCTACAACCACTTCTTCCTTCCGGATTCGACGATAAAAAGAGTAGTTTCTACACTCTTCTGAGTTACTCAACTCCCCTAAAGAAGCACTCATTTCATGTCCTTCATTGAAAAGATTATGAAAATAACCTCTCCATCTGTCTTTAACCGCGTTCTCTGTAGCAAGAACCTTTCCATCCTCATCCTTGATGCACCTCACTTGGTTTAGGTCCCTTGTCTTCTTTTCCCTTGCTCTAGATAGTTTATAGATATCCAACTCTCCTTCTTTGGTATCTAGTCGTTTATACATATCGTCGTAAGCCGCTAACTTAGTTTCTCTGACAGCTTTCTTCGCCTCTTGCTTCACTTTTCTATACCTTTCACCATTTTCATCGGTCCTCTCCTTGTATAAGGCTTTACAACATTCCTTCTTAGCCTTCACCTTCGTTTGTACCTCCTCATTCCACCACCAAGATTCCTTTTGGTGTGGGGCAAAGCCCTTGGACTCTCCTAATACCTCTTTTGCTACTTTTCGGATACAACTAGCCATGGAATCCCACATTTGGCTAGCTTCCCCCTCTCTATCCCACACACATTGGGTGATTACCTTCTCTTTGAAAATGGCTTGTTTTTCTTCTTTTAGATTCCACCATCTAGTCCTTGGGCACTTCCAAGTCTTGTTCTTTTGTCTTACTCTTTTGATATGTACATCCATCACCAACAAGCGATGTTGATTAGCCACGCTCTCTCCTGGTATAACTTTGCAATCCTTACAAGTTATACGATCCCCTTTCCTCATTAGAAGAAAATCTATTTGTGTTTTTGACGACCCACTCTTGTAGGTGATCACATGTTCTTCTCTCTTCTTAAAGAAGGTGTTGGCTAAGAAGAGATCATATGCCATTGCAAAATCCAAGATAGCTTCCCCATCCTCGTTTCTCTCCCCAAAACCATGGCCACCATGAAAACCTCCATAGTTGCCTGTCTCCCTGCCCACGTGTCCATTTAAATCTCCTCCTATAAATAACTTCTCCGTCTGAGCAATTCCTTGCACCAAGTCTCCAAGATCTTCCCAAAATTTCTCCTTCGAACTCGTATCCAACCCTACTTGGTTTTTCATTAACAATACCGAGAAATTTTCGTTAAAGTTCCCAACAACTAAAAGAAAAAAAAATCCCATTGCAGAAACATTGTTAATAGGTTTCTTTTTCAATTTCATCGGTAGATTGTAAATACTTGTCCTCAATTACTAAGCCTAAGTATGGACAGCCCGACCACCGTTATTCGTAGAGCACTTTCGACAAAACACTCCATTTTAGTTCCACTCAACCCCACATTGATCTCACCCGGTGTTAGGCAGCCCCGTCAATAGTAATGTTGACTGACTTTACTATTGAGTTTTGTATTAATTTTGGTAGGTGCTATACACAACCTCCTTTTATATTTCATACACTTCTGTTAATTTTTGTCCTTTCATATTTTTTAATTCCAATCCGAATACCAAAAATTAAAAAGAATGTATAGACGGTAAAAAAAAAAGTTATATAAATACCGGCAACCTTAAATTTTCTCCTTTGCGATTAACCTTCTGAAAAGTACTAAGTGTGCGTTTACTAATCCGTAATCAAATTGAGAGGAATTGAATTAAGAAGAAATATAAATGAGGTGAAATCAAAATCAGATTCCTTTTGAAGTTGTTTACTAAAACTGTCTGGAATCGGAGTAGGAATGACATTGATCTATATAACTGTTTACTAATTCATATGAATCGGAATGAAAACTATTGTGATTACTAAAATACCCCTAGTTTAATTAATCTATTTTATATGCTAATTATTTTTAGTAAATCTTTTATTCTTTCTCTTTTTTTTTTTAAGAAGAGAGAGCCATTATTATTTTTTTATTTTTTTAGTAATACTTTTATTATTTTATTTTTGGATTTCTTAGTGGAATTCTCGTGCTTATCTACTTAACCTAGAACCCACTGTCCTCGTCCAAATTGACATTATCTAGAACCCACGGCTCATAGCCTCATCCCGACGGAGAGATCACTGTTCCTACCGCTTCTTCTTCGGCGACGTGTGGGCATCGGAGCCTGCGCCTCAGCGTGGGACTCCACCACCCCAAGTTCCAATTCGGATCTTTCTCGGGTCTCTCTCACCCGAACCCGCTCCTCTCCCTCGACCTCTCTGGTACCACTCTCTTCTCTGCCACTTGCGTTTCCTTTTGTTGTTGAATTTTCTATTATTATCAATGGTGGCAACTGGGTTCAGATTTTTGTAAGATTTGATTTTTGCTTTGGGTACGCTTACCATTTTTTGGTTGATTTTGCTATGCCGAATCCTATGGAGGAGGACATGGAGGATTTTAAGGTGGTGGAGCGAGAGGAGGCGGCGGAGGAGCAGAGAGCCACTAGAGAGGATGGCAGAGGACAACGAGAAGATGGAAAGGAGTGCTGAAGGTGTAGGGCATTTTGGGAAAGAAAATTTGATTTCGGATGGAGCCTTCTCCCCGGAATCCAAATACTCAACAATATCAGGAGATGAATTCCTGATTTTATGTGGGGCCCGCAGAACTGTTCATTCTGCTTAAGTTGGTAAACGGAGGAATAATCAGGAATGGGGTATGATTCCCATTCCACCATATCCTTTCCCCATATGTAAACACCATAAGACTAATTGTGAGGGCATCAAGTTGTAAAAGAGACGAATGTACAATCATGCAATATGGCAAGTGGTAACTGCGATCTCGGCGGTCTTGTTCCAGATTTTTCTTTATTAAGACTTCGTATACACGCAAGAAGAGAATCAAACGCAGAACTTCGGATGCAAAAGAAATGTTGCAAACGACTTGGAACAAACAAATCCCTTACTTCTCTATGAATACAATACAACTTCTCTATTGTCATCAACATAACCACACAGCACAAACTGAATCAAACCAATCAACCCCTAGGCTTATAATCCCTAGACTCGGAAATCGTCATACAACTAAGACGCGTGATGAATCACACCGGCGAACAACAAAGAAACATGCTCGCATGTGTAAAACTCGGAGACGGAAAGGATGCAAAAACACACACACACACAGATAAAGGCAAATTAATGACAGCTAACCTAAAGGGTAGTTGATCTCAAATTCCTAAAGCGCCGGCGCCTAAATATTTCAACCTTCTGTAGTCACACTAGAATAAAACGTACTATTTGCAGCAACGCCGGTGAGGTTTACCAGAAAACCAAACCATTGAGATCTTGAAGCTTTTGCTAGATCCTGGACTAGTTACCTGCAACGACTCCCTGTAGATTTAAACTGGTCACAACTTCTGGAGGATGCATTTCTCGTACAGATCAAGCCAATCTTTTTTGCTAGCATTGCTTCTCAACTCGAGCACTTCGGCACCAAAATTATGTTTTGTGAGTTCTTGCTTAATTTTTGCAACGGTGAACTTTTTATAGTCTTCCGAATTGGTTTGCTGACTGCGGGTATCATCATCTCCCTTGAATACTGAACCACCATCTTCTTTTTGTGTGTGCGGACTGGTAGTACTTCTAGACCTCTTATTCACTCTTAAAATCCGATCACTCATCTCCACGTCTTGAACAGAGTCCATGCCCATTTCATAGTCGTCTACCCTTGAGCGTTTCCCACGGGAAGTAGTCCTTAACTTGCTATCCAATGCTGTTTCATTCAGCCGAACAGAAGTCAATTCTTGCTGGAGTGAATCCAGTTGTGATTGTGCAAGTTGTAGCTGATGAGAGAGGTGGTCTGCCCTATTGTTTGCATCTGCATGTGCTGCGCGCTCACTTTCCAGAAGGCCTTGAAGAACCTGAACAGTACTAGTTCTCTGCTCGTTATTTGATTTCAAAAGCAATTCTATTTCTTTCTCTCGTTCTTCAACTCTTCCCTCCAGTAGGGTAACTTTCGAATGAGCTTCCATCTCTGATACGAATTCTGTCTAGTTCATTATCCAAGTCTCTTTTTTCCCTTTGCAAACTTTCAATAAGCCTCTCAGCCCTCTCAATTTGAGCCAATCTTTCCATTGCCAATCTCTGCATCTCACTCTTTTCCTTCTGAGCAGTATCTGCTTGAGCCCGTGCTCTATCAGCAATATCAGTTGCTCTTGTTGCTTCCTTTTCAGCAATTTTGCACCTTTCTTGCACTTCGTCAAATCTTTTTATATCAGATTCGTACTTCTGCTCCAGATATATCTTCTCCTGCTCCAGTATCTTTTTCTCTCTCTCAAATGAGTGGGCCTTTGCATTTGTAGCTTCTAATTTTTTACTTAACTCCTTTATTTCAAGCTTCATGGATGATGTTTCAGCATCATAGCTATCTACTTTCGATTGGGCAGCCTGCAAATGATGTGCAATTGTTAACAATCACATCATTGATAAATATGTGTTGAAACAGGCAACCACACGAGAAGAAAACTCATGCAAAATAAGAATTCTTCTTGATCGAATTTCAATGATTTTTAGGGAACTTTAAAATAACCAATCAGAATAGTCTTAGCACAACCACCCCACTGTTAACCTCCCAACTGTGTGTAACTGTGAGCATAACCAAATGATATGGAACTATAATCTGAGAGTTGAGAAGATTCAAACTCATAAAACAATTCTTACAAAGTGTCAAGATTCAAACTCACCTTCAATTCTAACCTTAGAGTTGTCAAGCACTGCTCTGCATGTTCAATCTTTGCCGTCTTATCCTTTATTTCCTCCTCCTAAATATTAATCAACAAGAAAAACAAGTCAGAATCCCATAAGAAACTAGAGAATTGGAGTGTGCATGTGAATGTGCGTGTTTGTATGTGTTTCTCTGTCTCTGTGCGTGTGTGTGTGAGAGAGAGAGAGAGAGGATCACCTTATCAGCCAGAGTATCAGCGAATTCTGCCCTCAAAGCATCTTCTCTCTTCTGAGTTTCCTTACTTGAACGCTCTTGGACAGTTGCAGCCTTCTCCAGAGCAGCTTTTGCTTCTCTAAAAGCATTGTCATACTTGCGTTTCCACTCCTCAGCCTCCTCTTGAGCAGACTGAGCTTGTTCCCGAGCAGCAGCCAGCCTTGCTTCACCAGCACTGCATCGGGACTTGAGAATTGCAATTTCAGAACTCCATTGATCTTCCTCAGCCTTCTGCCTTGATAAGACATGTTCATATTTTCTTTTCCACTCTAAGGATTCCTGCTTTGCAGAATCCAATGTTTTAATCAAGCCAGAACATCTCTCACCCAATGAACTGTGATTACTCTGCAAGTTATTTATGCGGCCCATATATTCATCAGCTAGCTTCTTCTTGTCATTGATAGCATCCTCATAACGCTTAAGATATTCAGACTTCGACTTCTCACTAGACTCCAGCTGCTTGTTAAGTAACCCCAACTTATCTTCTAATGAGCGGCACCTCAACATGAGGGTATTCTTCTCTGACCCAGCTTGGTCAATCAGTCTCTTGACGAGGTCAAGTATTGGCCCTTCAAAACTGTGAATTTGGATTTTGTCCAATCCGTTAATATGCACTCATACATTAATCAAAAAGAAGGAAATAAAGACAATTGGCAAACCTCTTCTGTAAGAACATGGTCAGTTTCTGCCATTTTGCTGGACCATGACTTGCTGCTTCATAGTCGGATAGAAGACCATCAAGAACCTAGAAAAAGAAAATTCAAATATTAAAAAAACATTAATGAAAATGTTAAAAGACCACAGAAGCAACCCACTGTTGTTTACCTTCCCAACATTATCAATATTAGCATCACTAGCATGGCATGCTGTTCTCAGCTTCCTTTCCATGATTTGTATGGCATTTGAACAGTGCAACTCTGCCTCCATATATGCATTCTTTTTACAATCCTGTGTCAGTAGCCAATTTAAACAAAATAAGACCAAGTATACAAGGGATGAGTTAACAAGAACGAATAAATGCATGATAAGTGAGCTATTGTCACTAAACTATTTATTGTCAGAAAGAATTCAACTGAGGCAAGAATACTATTGCCAAAACCCATTACTTGTACTGTGGATAGCATGGATGTATATGCAGTTCAGCGATATGTGTGTCAACAACCTACTAATTATAAATTTTGCTTTACATTGCACTGTACCTCAAACTCCTTTTTCAACTTTTTGTGGAGCTCCGCCTCATACTTCTTCCTTGGTGGACCAACTCCTACAGCACCATCATTGAACGCAGCCAATGATCTATGAACTGCCTTTTCATGTGCTTCCCTGAATGCAGCCTACAACATATGGACTTAGAAAACAGTATATTCAACAACAATTAAGGCATAATGCACAACTTACTTCTTCGGGATCTTTTGGACGCTGAAAAGCAGACTTATACACCTCAAGAGCAGAATCATATGCTCTTCGGCAACCATCTTCTTCAACACTCTGCAGAGTAAGAAGAATCACATGATGCCTCATAAATATTTAGTTAGGGTAAAGTTTCTATCGACCCTCTAATTTCATACCAATCATAAAGGGAGTTCAGGATGAACACAAACCTGCCATGAAGAGGATATGGTAGGCACCGCGCCTTTATTAAGAGCATCAAGATAAGACTGTGTGATACCAACTAGAACTGGACCTGTCATCATTGTTGCCCCAACTTGCTTGGGCCTTGTTCTTTCAAAAACAAACTTTGTCAATGCATCTAGCCCGGCTCTGAATTCAGGCCTTAATTTATCCAACTGCATTACAAAAACTTAGGTTTCAATACGATACAACTAATAGAAAAGAAAGAAAGTAACAGGGCTGAGCTCATGACCAACAACACAGAGAACAAAGACAGCAGTTAGTCACTGACCCGAATTTCGTCAAGTCTTTGAAGATCATGTTCGTCATTCAAAGGCCGCACAAGGGTGAAGCATTCTCTGTCTGGAAATAAAGCTCGAATGGAGGCTCGTATCTGTATTGATCATTCATATAGTACAATAAGCACCTCTAAGCAATATACATTGAAAACATAATTTGGAAATGGTAGTGCTCAATGAGCCTACGGGGTCAAAAAAAGCTAACAAGGGTATATCTAAAGCAGAAAATGCCTGTTGAACAAACCATGTATGAGTGGGCAAGGCAACTTCTTGAAATAATAAAGTCAAGAACTAAGAAGAGCCCAATAATACCTCATTTTTAGCAACTACGTCCCTTTTTCTGTCTTCGACTGGCTTCAAAGCAAGCTCCAGATAATCACGAGGTGTTATCCTTCCACTATCCTCTGATAAATTCAGATAGAAGTCCTGAAACCAAGGCAGTAAGTATGGAAATCCATTGAACGCATTCTACTAAATACACTGCATTTATAAGACAATAAAAATAAAAGTAATTGCAGCAGATGAACCATTGTAGTCAATGGCACAAAGATTAAAGAAACAAGTTCATTCAAAACCAATTACCCTTAGAAGCCACACAAAGATTGGGGAGAACTGCCCAATTTCAGAAGCTGTGGTTCCTCCAGAAGCTTTAACACGTATATGCTTGGACATTTGAGTGACAAGAGAGATACGATCGAGGGAACCTTCATCTATACCACCCATCTAAAACAAAACAAAACAAAACAAAAATTAAGCAGAAACCATAAACCATATACAAAAAGAAGGTATAAAAGCCACCGCATAATTTTTCTAACCTGGTTGTAAATAAACATGCTAGATAGGAGAACTGCTAAGGAAAATATCTGTGTGCTGTACGTTTCCTGTAAGATAAAATTAAGTTATGAGTATTACAATACAATTGATAATGCTCATTATCACAATCATAAAATGAGCCGAAACTAATATGTTATAAGCAACAAATAAAGGCTAACCGTCTGATCAAAAGCATCTATTCCTTCAGTATCCAATAGTAATAGATTGTATTCAGTCCCATCCAGTGCAGTTCTCTTAAAGGGTGCACTCCACAACCATAGCCCTTTTGTACATGGGCGATGTGTAGATGCTACTTGAAATCCGCCACTTCTTCCGAGGAGCTACAATAGAGAAATCCAAAACAATTACGTTTCTTTCAGCAACATTAAACCAGTAGGGAAGAAAAACAAAAGTAAGAATAGTGCTCATAAATTCATGGAGAGAGATGATAAAAACCGGTAAATTCTTTAAATGGTAGGCCCATCTCTATATCTTACGCTAAATGTGAATCACACCCCAGTTTCGTTTGACCATATAATCAAAATTTCACATTAACACAACAATATTCCATCGTAAATGCGTACGTCCTTGTCTTAGAGTCGATAATACCCAAGCATTGTTGCAAAAACATGGTTTACGCTACTTATGACAAGTCCAAGAACTAGAGAAACCTGAAGTAACCCTGCAATTATCCAAGTCTAAGACAGTTAGGTAATTCCACCATCATCCAAGTCCACCAAGATCCACACTTGGCCTTTCAAAGCGTGTTCATTGTTCAATTAGCCAAAAACCAAAACCTAAAGTAACCCTACAATTCCTACACTTAATGCAATCCCCTAATTCTACAAATGCCTTACAATCGTAAACCCTAGAATTCAGAGACAGAAAACAAAATTCACAGGCAGAAAGCAAAATGATCATTAAGATATGTCTACTTAACATTTGAGAGAAGAATGACGAGAAACCGAACCTGGTTCAGAATAAAGCTCTTGCCCTGGCGGGCACGGCCGCAGACCGCGACGATACCAATGGGTTCCTTTACGAGCTGCAGCATGGAGACAGCCTCCTGATCCATCCGGAACTTCCCATTCTCGTCGCAGTAGACGAGCCGTATCGGCCTCGGGGGACCGGTCACCGACCGCGAAGGCGAGGGAGAGAACGACTGCGACGGCGACGGCGGTGAAGAATCGTCTTTGCCTCTGAAGAATTTCATCATGTTTTACAGTTGCTCTTGGTTACGACGTCGTAGAGCGACTGCGCTCTCCTTCGTCCAGTTCACTGAGGGTAGAGAGAGAACGGAGAGAGAAAAAAACAGTCGAGGGTTTAAAAATTGGGGAGGGAAAGTGGTCGGAGGTTTTGGGGTGCTTTACAGAGCAGCGAGAACGAGAAGGGGGCACGAGTCAAATTACGATTATGGGTTTGGTTGCCGCGGTGGAGATTGAATTAGCGTAAGGGCTTTCCTGTATTTGTACAATAACGTGGATCCCAAGTCGGAACGACAGCGTGTTGTTAAAGCTAACATTGCACTCGGCTGCTATACTGCCTCTTCGCCGGGAAGTGTGCACAGCAAGACCGCCGCCGGCCCAAATTTTTGGCCGACAAGCGCCAAGCCCAATAAACCCTCAGCATTGCTGGGCTGAGCTACAGCGTTTAATGTTTAGAACATCAAGTTGGCTTGGGCTGGTCTTCTTTGTAGGTGGGAAGGTCGGGTGGTGGGAGTGGGCCTGGCATTTTAGGATAGAGCTTGATCCTGCAAGCATGTACGAGAAAATCATTTGCGAAACAGAGTTACAGAGAAAGAAAAATTAATAAACAAAGACGGGGGCACTTTTGTCGTTTGATAGTTTCTATTTGGGGATGGCCCCAGAAAGCTGGAACATCCTTTCCCCATTTGGAAACTGGTGGCGCGGGTTGACCCGCTTACCTGGTCTGCTGAGTGAATTGACCCAGTTTCCCTAAGAATTTTCCGACGGGGGAAAATTGGACACTAAATCCTCGAGGGCATGGCGAATGTATATTTTTTTTTCTTTTTAAAAAGGGGTATAACTGGTGGCAAGCCACGATTATTCATCTCTTTCAAGGCCGGAAAGACTCACAAAGACATTTCAGCCTTCCCTTGACGACAAGTCTAACTTCCAAACCAGCAGCGGGTCCACTTCTATAAAAAGCGTGACTGCTACCTCTATTGATCATATCTTGTTCTTGTTGTGGCTGGTGCTCCTTAAGAGTGGTCGATCTTATTTTGAACTTGTACCAGTTTTTTAATTCAACTTTGATCTTTCATCTGGAATAGTTTGGAATAACAAGTACGAAATTATTCCTCGCCGCCAACAAAGTGATTGACATCATATTTGTTCATCCTAATTTATATTATTGGAAGAGTGGAAAACCGAACGCATAAACTTGATTATCCATAGGCTCTCTAATTGACAAGAGAAAAACAAGATAAGGCTCGAAGTTTCGTTATGATGGGCTCTCTAATTGACAACAAGATAAGGCTCAAAGTTTCATTATGAAGGTAGTCAACAATCTGTCATGTCATTTGATTACCAAAATCCTATCCCGTCTCGATTTCGAAATGAAAGCATGATAAGTGTTAGGAAGATTTTTTTAAAATTTCATGAACTCTCTGTTATCTCATAGTTTAACATTAATTATAGTACTAACATTATTAAATATGATAATATATATATATATATATAAGGTGATAAAAATCTATGAAAATTCCTACTTTTAAGAAAGTTTTGTTTGCATTTCTCATAGAACACTAAAAAAGCCTTTGAAATGGTAAATCATTGTTGTGGGATGGGATCATGGGATGATCTTGATTAACATATAGTGCACGTCATGAGATGAGGTTGTCATTTTCTCGTACCACTATTTTATCTTTATTTGTTTATTATTAATATTTGATGTATTATTACATCACAGGCTGATTGTACATGAGTTGTACACAACCACTCTCAATAATCATTTTCCATAATTCACAACTCACTAATCATTTCTTAGGTCATCCACAAAGATGGTGCATAATACTAGAAAAAGATGGATATCGTTAGTGGCGAAGCTAATTAGGGGCAAGGAGGGGCTGCCCCTCTCTTCACCGGAAATCAAGTTTAGAAACGGTGACTTTGCCCCTCTGGTCTCGTCAGAAGTGCCTATTGGTGTGGTGGTTCCATCTATGTTCATCTGGGTTTGTTGCTGGTGCGTAGCTCTATTGCATTTGGTTTTTTTTTTCTTTCTAAAAGCCAAGCCAAATGACACCGTTTGGTCCTGTTTAAAAAAAAATTCCCTTAGTACAACGACATCATTTAGGCATAGAATCAAAAAATAAATTAATCAAAGAGCAGCAGAATAGATCCCGTTGCCCCTAGGGGTGGGTTGAACAAACCAAAAACTGAACTGAGATTGAAAAAACCGAATTGAACCGAATCTGGTTGGGTCGGTTTATGGGGTTCGGAAATCGAACTGAACCGAACCCAACTGAAGTTCTTCAAAACGACGTTGTTTTGTAATTATTTTATTAATTAATAATCCTATTCTAGAAACGGCATCGTTCTACCCCAAGTGTAACCCTAACCCTAAGGCGTTCGCGCAACCTGAGCCTTCTCTCTCTCTCTCGGTCTTCAATCACTCTCTCAAACTCTCTCTCTCTCTCTCGATCTTCAATCCCAACAGCGACCCGCGACCCTTCTCACTCTCAATCTCTCACACCTCGCTGTTAGCTTCTCTTGCCGTTTCGAGTCTTGACAGCAAAAGTTTAGTCTCACACTCTCACTTCTCTATGTTTAATTTTTTGTTCTATTTATCTGCTCAAATTTGTTCTGATTGGACAAATAGTGGCCTTTACAGATCTTCAATTATTAATTTGCATTTTCTGTCAATAAAGATTAGAGAATGATTCATACTTTGCATTTTCTATTAATATACCGATTTTTTGGGTTTCTTTCTGCAACAATATATTATGTATAGTGTGGTCATGAGAATTTAAGATATTTCAATTTTCAATAGATTGTAATTTTAGATTTTTCTGGGTCAGTTATAAATTAAACAGCATAGAAATTTGATACCATTTAGCATTTTTCTTTTTCTTTTTCTTTTTATTAGACCGTATCATGAACACCGTCTCAATTCCATATTTCATTATTGAGGTGGTCGGCTGACTCTTACAAAGAATATTCATTTTCTTTAGTGGCATGGAGTACGTTGTAGTCTGGCATTATAAAACTTGGTTCATACTTGGGTGATCCCTAGGTTTGATCATAGAGGTCTTCTCTGCTGTTGCTGTTGGGAAAACCATAAACATAGTTTAGGTGTCGTTACCTAAAGCTAGAGCACTGTGGTAATCACCTATATCTATAAATGAACTGGCTGTTAATCTTTTAAGCGGGGTGTGTTATTCTTTCGCATGTGTGGCATTTTTTCTGCTAAGTTAACTTATGAAGGGTTGAGACCTTGGAGACCTTGGAGATGATGAAATTCAGATTCAGTTATCTTTGTACTCTTATTTTTAAGTTTTGTCAGACGTAGGCAACAGTGTAACCCTAAAAAGGGTCTATATTGTGATAAATTGGTACAATGGGTACAAAAAATGATCAACAGTTATTCGTATTTCATTCTTTTTCAATTGAATTCATAGTCTTTGTTTCGGGTTGATTTTTTGTTGGATTTATTTCAGTCAAAGCTATACATCTTTAAGAGGGTTTTTTGAGTTGCTATATATTGTTCACACATACCATAAACCTTTAGTGCTGGGTTTTTTGGACTTTGGAATGTTTATTTTAGGTATGGAAGACTTGAACTTTGATGTTTATTTTAAGTTTGGACTTTTGGAAGATTTGAACTTTGATATTTATTTAACTTTGGACTTAGGAAAACTTGATTGTAATTGAACTTTGAATGTTTATTTTCATTTTCTTTGATTCTATTGGAAATTTGGAATGCTTGTTTTATCGATTATGTTGAAATGGGACTTTGAATTTATTTATACTCCTCTGGAAGATGTATTACAAAATGGCTGCAAGCTTTTAGATAAAGTTTTTAATTTCCAAATTTATATTAACATTAACCCTGATTGCTTATTTAATATGAAATTTTGTTTAATAGATATAGAATCATAAAGTAATTAATCAATAGGGTTATTGATTATTGATTATCGATATGAAATCTTATAATTATTGATGGATAAAATTGTTATTTAAAATAAAATTTGAATTCTTGATTATTGATTAATTGAATTGAATTTTATTTAATGAATAATTTATATAATTATTGGTATTGATTAAGAATATAAGACTTTTTCCGTATTATACAGTTACTTAATGGAAATATATTATAAAAAAAATGCTTAAATTCTCCTTCAAATATTCCAAGTAGTTCTCCTTCAAATATTCCGGGTAGTCCTCCTCAACTATTCTTGGTAGTTCCAACAAATTGAGATCATTGAGTTGGATGAAATATTAGCTAATCTTTTTTAACCTTGCACATTTTAAGTTCACCCCAACCCGTAACTTATGGCATGTTTACCAATTGACAATGGAAAGGAAAGAAACGAAATTGAATTCCGCTTGAAGCATTATGCCGTTTACTAGCACTTGGGGAATCAGATTTTATGTGGGGTCCACCCAATTTCAGGAGTTCAATTCCGGATTTCCCCGGAATTGGATTACCTCTGTAGAGGTAGAGGTGGTAATTGAATTCCGAGTAAATGGTTCCATCACAAATCAAAGTTTTCTACCCAAAATACCCATGTATATTCCTAAAACAACTCCTACCGTCATCAATCACTCCCCTATGTATTTGTTTCTCTCACAACACAGACCAACCCACCTTCGCAATGTGAAACGATGCCCTAGCATTGAATGACGAACACTGCAATTTGGAACAATGATCGTCTAGGGTTTGAAACGACGCCACAACAATGAACATGATCTGGAACAACGAACGCCCAAATCCTCAAGGAAATTGTGATTTGTAGACCCAAACAGAAGAGAAAGAAAGAACTTTTCACTTTCACCCTGAAAATTAGATTTTTTTTTTAGTTGATGGCGTGGGTCGTGGCTTCGTGGTTCCTTTAGAGATTGGATGGTGGGGTGTGGATACTACTTACTTGGGAAAAAAAAGGGAAAAAAAGGGGTTGCAGACGAAGATTGGGGGAAGAGAGAAGGAAGTAATTTTTTTTTTTAGTTTACTTGAGATGAAGGGGCAGCAGTGGCTTTGGAAATAACGATCTTATAAAAAGTTTTGGAAATAATAATCTCATAAAAAGCTTTGTTTATGGATATATTTAATTAGATAAACTTAATTTTTAATAATTATAGCATAAAAATAATTTATTTTAAACAAGGTAATTTAGTAATCAAGCTAGTTTTGATTTCGATTCTAGTGAACTAGTAAACAATATATATGGAACTAATATCATTTGTATTCCGATTCCAGTTAGTTTAGTAAACAACTTTAATATGAATCTAATTCAGTTTCCTCCTCAATCCAATTCCTTCTCAATTTGATTCTTTCTCAATTCAATTCTCTTCAATCTGATTACGGATTAGTAAACACGCCCTTAGTGTTACGGTCTAGTCGTATTCCTCTTCACTTGTAAGTAAAAGAACTTAGGTTCGATTCTCACTAAAGACAAATTTGAACCACATTATTACTAGTTCATTGTGAGGCTTAGTCTACTTCTACACCCTCTTACTATAGATATCGTTTATTGAAAGAAAAAAAATCGCCCCTCTCCCCGACAATTCCTAACTTTATCATTGCATATTGTCTTGTATTTTGCACATTGAGAAATCTCTCGTCATCTTATATCAAGCATAGTGAACGAAAACTCCCACCACCACAAAACGCGACAAATTCATGCTCATCTCATATGAGTCATATGAAGAGTCGACCTCTATGGCCGACAATTTGACTTCCGTTAAAGTCCAGGTATTAAGCGTGTGGAACCCAAAATCCACCCCCCAATCTTTCTATATTTTTTATTTAAATTACACCATATGGAAGACTAATTTGACAGAATGAGACATTTTCTCACCACATTATGCACCAAATCTTTTTTCGTACTTTTTTTATGACTTGTTACCTTAATTGATTATTTTGATTGTTTATTAATATTAGTTGTGCTAATAATAGTGGTGCTAATTGAGATTGTCAATTGTTAATACACTTTTGTATTCAAAATTTGGAATATGTCCAATTTGACTTCTTATGAGCCGATATTTACATAAGCAACTGAAACAAGTCACGCCAGCATGAGCAAATTTTCATAACATTTGATTAATGGAGGCATGAATTGATAATAGAATGAACTAATGAAAATGACCATCTCGAGTTCAAATCTTATTCACTTATTTTGTGTATGATCTCTTTGTGCCTTGTATTATTGATTAACACGTATTAATAAATTTAATCATTCTTAATTTCGTTGTCATAAACTTAACACATACTAATCAATAATAGAGAGATCACAAATAAAATAAACACTGAAGATTTTGTCTCATCTTAGACAAGCATGGGTCTTGCTTGCACCAACCAGCTCAGTCCCATTGGATGTTCGCCTGCTGTCCGTCATTAGCATAAATTTGAAAAAATTACATCATATCATCGATTATTACAATAACTTTTAAATTAATTATCTCTACATAAATCTAAAAAAAAATTCAACAAAATTAAAGACAGATAAATTAAGAAATAATCAAATGATCTGCAATTTTGGAGCTGTACCTACTGAAATTTATTCCTCCAACTTTTTTATTGAATCCAAATATATCATATGTAAGTTAAGGAAATAATTGAAATTTGCAGAATCACAACCCAAAAAAACCCAGAAAAGAAAAAAAAAGCAACTATAAATTCATAGCCACAAAGCTCCAGCTTGTTTTAATACAGGCACAAGTTCACCTGTGATATGAGTAGCCATAACCCTCTCCAAACCACCAAACAACTTCCCGCCAACAAACACCACAGGAAACTGCTGCCAATCCTCCTGGCCTTCTCCGGTCAGTTTCCGCAATTCAATGACAACGCCGGTCTCGTCGTCCTCGTCCACCTCGAAAACAGTAGGGTTGACACCGTGGCCGAGGAGCAGCCGTTTAACGACGTGACACATGCAGCAGCCACGTCGCCCGACAACCGTGACGGCATTCTCTGACACTAGTTTTTGTACGCTGGCCGCCGCGACATGTTGCTCACGTGGGATGTCACGTGAGGACGCGGCGTGGCTGGGCCGAGTGCCCGGAATCCATGTTCCCAGTGGGATCGTTTCTGATTGCATACTGCAATTAAAGTTCAAATTTTAGAGAGAGAGAGAGAGAGAGAGAGAGAGAGAGATTTCAGAGGGGGGGGGCCGGTGTAGAAGTGGCGTTGGAGCACGGGGGTCTTATAAACTGTTGAGAGAGAGAGAAGAGAGAGAAGAGAGAGAAGCGTAGACTTTGACGTCAACGGCAGCTGCGCACTGTACGACGTCACAGGTTGCTGTGGATGACGTTTACTTACGTCACCCGCGTTGTTCGACACTATTTGATGATGCACCGCACACGTAACACGTTGCCATTAATTTTCCCACCTGTTTCATCAAGCGTAAAGTATTTGGCCACATTCTTCAGTCTTTTGCTCTCATCTACTTTTGTGACGAAATTAAAATAAAATCATAATCCCTAGCACGAAAGAGTTTTGCTAGCAGGCGTTGTTCACGTTTTTTTTTTTCATAGCTTGCGTGCGTGTTGTGGTAAAGTATTTACTAATCATAGTCGTTCGCTTTCAATTACTTATGAGGAAAACTAATGAAAAGGATTTGAAAACTTTGAGTTTTAATGATAAGAACAAAATAAAGGGTAAAGTGAATAGTACTAGGATTGACTTTTTAGTATAAAAATGTGGTTTTTCGTTAAAGTGAACAGTACCGGGTGCTTTTCGTTAAAGTTCCCTTACTTATATGACGAAGTTAAAATAAAATTACAATAATTGAGGTAGTGTATGCCAGTGGCATGAGTTGTTGTCGTATTGCTACGTGTACGACGACTAACATACCCCGACCTAGATCGAGGTATGCTGGCTGTCACATGAGGGTGACGTAGCCATGTGCGTATTGCGGAAAAGAAATTGATATAAAGAAATGTGAATAACTAGGAACCAAGCTAAATAATTTACACTAAAGAAATATAAGTGCAAGCATGGTGTTTAGGTGTAATTACACATAATCAAAGCATAAGTAGCCTAAGTGCAGTCCAGCAGGACAAATGCTAATCATACAGTACCAGAGATAGTCCTACAATAGTGATAATTTGTCAGAACCGTCGACGATTCCTCGTAAGCCACCAACAAGCACTCCTAACTAGAACCTGGAGGGGCGCAAAACAAAAAGTGTGAGTGGGCAAAAACAAAGCTTTTCAAAACCGTTCATTATCAAAAGTAATAACTCATCGCCATAAAACCTGTATAATTCCCAGAAAATAGCAGGCATGTCTACATCTCAAAACCATATTCGAAATAAGAAAAATTCCACAATTATACCATGTCAAATCTCAGTAAGAAATAAGTAATGCCAGGTGAAATAAACCAATATAAAATGTTATGTTAGCTGGAGTCACCTAACATGACCTGTACGGCTAAGCCCATAGCTTATCAATCAGATCCTGCACACGAATCGGAACCACCTAATGTGGTCTATACGATAGGCTAGGTGTAAATAAATACGCTCAAGTGCTACGATCATGTGAAGGCTGTGCGAAGTATCACAAGTCACCTATGAGTCGGAACCACCTAATGTGGTCTATACGACAGACTGGCACCTACCTTTAATTCAAAGTGAGCGTGTGGTATGGAAGGTGAACGATCACGTAAAGGCTAGGCCTTGACCTCGGACGGAGCACTAACACCGGGGTGCAGGATAATAAGCTCTAACTACATCTCAACACAATTATACTCAATACCATCAATATACTCACCTGAAGCTTACATGAGTGTCTGCAGCATCAAGCTACAATATATATAACCATACTAATGTATAATCAAACATTAAGAGCATTTGACATGACATTTCAAAATATAAAACCATTTAATTAAGTTTTCTGGGAAAAATACCAAGTGTGTATATATATATATATATATATATACACACACACACTAAAAACCAAAAGGTCACTCACTGATATGTGGAAGAGTCGTAACCCCCGAGTCTCACTTGACTGCGCTATTCCTCTGGATACGTCTCACCTATATTCGAAACAACTATTTAAATGTTATTTTAGGCACATAACCAAAATTAGGTAATAACTTCTCATACGTTGTTTAATTATGGTATTTGAATATATCATCGTGACCTACTCAACCCCACGAACATCCCTATATTTTTAGAAAAATTTTCTGATGTCCCATGCGCCCTCACGTGCCGACCAAGGCACGACCACACGTGCAGGCACGTGCCTATCACGTTGGACGGAATCCCTAATGGCGATAGGGAATATTCCGTTAAATAATGGAATATACCATTATTTTTACCTAACGCCATTAGCATATTCCGTCAAAATTGATGGAATATTCTTCTCCTTCTTCCTTGGCTCACTGAAGTCCGTCGCCGGCCACCGCTGCTATTGCCAAATTCTGGAAAAACTTCAAACCTTAATAACCCATCCATTTCTAAACCAAAATTCATAAAATTTTCACCAAGTTGAAGCTTAGGACTTGAATAACACATCCTTACCACTTTTTGGACCTAAAACCAACGGAATGTCGCCGGAAAAATCTCGATAGTCCGGGCACCCCTGCAACTTGATGAACTCGAGTGTTTCGACGTTCAAAACCTTCCAAAACTCCTCTCTAAGCTTCGTGAAGAAGTTTTAGGACCTCCTAGAACCTTAAAACTCCATGAAACACTCGCGATCACCACGGAGCAAAATGCACCCCTTGCTAGAGCTTGGGTATCTCGAGTTTCCGAGGTTCCCACATCGAACTAAGGGTATGGTTCGACTCCTAAGCTTGCAAGGAGTCCAAAAATCACATCCACATACTTGATCCGCGACTGTTTGAGGGTGGTTGGTGAATGGTCGTACGATTGTACGGACAAAGAGAAAGATTTCAAGGGAGAAAGAGAGAGGTCAACGGGATATGTGTGTGTGTATGGGGTCTAGATTTGGGCAACAAAACAAAACAACCAAAAACTAAAACAAGCTTAAGTTCTAATTGGGTCCAAAACTTAGGGAAGAAATTAATTGGTCCAAATACTAAGCTCAATCCACACAACACCACACAACGTTCAAGGGCAATATAGTAATTTCCACGCTCTCGAGGATAAATTATTCCATATTTCGGGACGGGTTGTCACAACAACGACACCCTCAACCCTTCTCAAATTATTTTGATCCATTGGTTATTATATTGAGAGTATTTTTTTAATTTTTTTAATTTTGATCCTTATTTAACAAATAATTTTTGTACAGAAAAACCAAAATGATTAATAATTGATAAATTCAATAACTACTTTTATCGATTTCAAATCCTAAGAAATAGGATCTTGTTGTGTACTAGGTAATGCATATGCCATATGTAGTCAATGTAGTGTATGTAAAGCACGACACATCCCTAACATAATTGACTAGTACTTCGAGAAATACACGCCTATTTCCCTTTTGCTTCCTTAAATGGTGTTTATTTAACATGATTTTCGTGCACATATATGATATAAGATGACACTTCATCATTTAGTTCAGAGTTAATAGTACTACGAAAATTATCATCTTGCACTTTTTTATTTTTTTTGACAAAATCTGAACATTTGAACTTCAATTATTTATTTTGGCAAGAAATAATAACTCATTTAAGTTACTGTTAGTTGTTTATAACTTTATCCTAATCTACTCTACACAATATTAAATTGGGTGAAGAGTTTTTGAAAAAGAAAAAGAAAAAAGTAAAGTTGGTGAAAGGTATGATCAATTTTCACCATTTTTTTTAAAAATATCTACTATTATAATGTGATGAGAGTTCAACTATAACAATAATTAACACTATGTTTAGATGAAGAAATTTAAGATTACCAAAGAATTTTAGAATAATGGAAATTGAATTGATGGGATTTTATTTTCTAGAATTTGTGAATTTTCTTGTTTGGTTAGCCTAAAAGAACAATGAAATTAAATACGAAATTTGTTATTTTTAAACTCTCAATCATAGAAATTGGGAAATGACATATATGTACATGAAATTTAAACTTGGGAATTGGAGGTCCCAAATTTCAAGTTTTTTTTTTCACGCGAAAATTCTAAATTTCTATGTTTATGAATCCAAACAAAATGATTCGTACATGTCAATTTACAAATTCTAACTTTTATCCAAATTTCAAGTTTATTTCCCTCATCCAAATATAGTGTTAGGTTTCATCTAAAATTACTTTTAAAATGTCACAGCCCGTCCCGAAATATATTTATTGACGGCGTAAAATTACCTAAATACCCTTGGACGTTAACTTGTGTGGTGTATGATTTGTATTTGAGTTGGATTTAATTATGAGTTCCTTAGTTCTTGGAACCACTTAGGAACTAAGAAAGACTACATTTTGATTGGTTGGGGGATTTGGTCCACACACTACACCTCACTTTCTCTCTCTCACTCCCGTGCCCTCCCTTTCAGAATCACTCTCTCTCTCTCTTCTACGTACGGACGTCAACCAAAACCTTTGCAATTGAAACGGATCGAAGTGGAAAATGATACCATTGTGTTCGTGAAGCTCAGATGAACACATCCATACCATTTACAGGTAAGAACTAATTCGAAATCACGTGAAAACCCTAACCCCGAATGAGGTACTGTTCATGCAAAAATTTATGGATTGTTTTTATGGAATTTGAAGCTTATAGGAAACTTTGTGAGGTCCCTAGGAGGCTAGGGATAATTCGTTTGAGGATTTTGGACGTCAGAAAGTGGAGATCGACAAGTTTTAAATTTGGCCAGAAATTCGAGGCAATTTCAAATGTGTTCTCGTGAATTTCAAGGACCCAAATTGTTATATCATGATTCTACTTGTCTTTAGCTTTATTTTGGTTTAAATTTCATAAGATTTGGTGAAGAAATGAGCGAGATTGAGCTATTAGAAGTTTCCCGGTTTTCTGATGACCGGAGACTCACCAGTCCAAAAGTTGAAGACGACAGAATATTCTGTCAAATCTGACGGAATATTCTGACGTCGTCAGTTAGTTTTAACAGTTACCATTGGGTTTAACGGAATATTCCTGACGCCGTTTGTAGAATCCGTCAGGATTTCTTGTACGTGGCGGCACGTATGCCGTGCCTTGGCCGGCGCACGGCGGCGCGTGCGGGGTCATAAAATTATTTTAAAAATTCCTGGGTGATCGTGACGTTGTGTAGGTCACTGTGGTATATTCATATACCCAATTTGAGCTATGTATGAGAAGTTATTACATAGTTTGGTATATGTGCATTAAAGTGACGTTTATATAGTTGCTTCTCCTATAGGCGAGACCTATCCGGAGGACGAGCATAGCCAGGCTAGGCATATGGGTTATGACCCGGCTTCATATATGTGAGTGGGCAGTTATTTTCAGTGTGTATATATATACTTGACGTTTTTCCCATAAAACGTGTTTAAAGGAAATGTGATTAAAATGCTATGCTATGCCAATGCCTATATTTTATTTTAGTATATGCATTATCATAATTATGCATATTGTTGCATGGTGCTGTGGAGGCCCAGGTAAGTTTAGGTGAGTTATGTTTTGGTTATGTAAATTGTCAATGATGTGATATGATTGAATAATGTTGAGCTCATAAAATTGCAATTAGGGTGATTGTGATTTAGTCAGAGATATGAAGTACATGCCTATTTATTATGTCACATCCCACACCATATGCTCACATTGGATCCAATTTAAGTGCACAGTCTTGTTGTATAGACCTTATTTATGGTTCCGACTCGTAGGTGACTAGCGATTTATCGTCTGGCTATTATGTGAGATGAGTATTGAGCATAATTATATTACACCCATTATCGTCGTACATACCCTTGCTTTTGGTTTTGACTATTGTGCAGTATGTTGCCGTATAGGTCATTGTGGGGACTTCGGCTAGAGTGACTTTTAAGCTATGGAATCCAGCCGTATAGACTACCTTGGGGGTTCCGGCTAACATGTGATATTTCTATGAAATTATTCTTATCTAAATTGCTTATTATGTTTTATATATAGGCATGGTATACATTCAAATATGAATCTTGATTTTGAGTATGATTTGAGATATGTATATACATATTTATGTATTCTATTTTCTGGGAAAGTATCTATATACTTGTTTTACGGTGAGGGGTTAGTATATTAAAAGGAAAATAAGATTTTCATGTAAATGTGTTTTACTGACCCACTCAACTTTGTTTTTCGCCCATCCAGGTTTTAGGTAGCAGAGTTTGGTGGCCACGAGGAATCCAACGGTGTTATGACAGAATCCGAAAAAGTATGATTCACCTTCGGGTGTTGTATATTAGTAATTGTCCTACTTGACTGCAACTAGACCTTCTTATTGCTCTGAAAGTGTTTTTATACACTTAAACTCTCACTAGCATCCTTTCTTATTGGGATTGTTAGCCGCTTGGTTTAAATTATTAGTATTACTCTTATAGCGCGTTTACGTAAGGGTCATCAGAATCAAGAAACGGAATTGAATTCCGATTACGGCATACTCCGGTGTTTACCAAATCTGGGGGAATCAAAATTTAGTGGGTCCTACACAAATTTTGGAATCCAATTCCAAAATGTGGCTGATTTGGATTCCTAAGATATAGAAGATATTGGGATTCCGGGTGGCTTGGGCAATCCACTTGATAATTTTTTTCCCTTTATGCCCTCACTTACTTTCATTATTTTCAAGATTATCCTTTTTTAACCTAGACTTATTTTTCTTTCACCCAGCTCATTTCTATCTTCTCTCAGCCGCATGTCTTCTCTCAACCAGAGCTCTCGTCACACATACGGCTAGGTAAATTCCTTCTTCTGCTTTTTTATCTATGTGCTCGATGAATATCAGCATTTGGCTGCTCATTTCTTGTGCGTTTCTTTCTTCTCCGCGATGGATTTTCTTTCCAGGATTCGTTCAAATTTTTTTCCTGATTTTCTTCTTTTTATTTTATTTTTTGGTGTGCGAAAAACTTAAGAGAGAGAGAGAGAGAGAGAGAGAGAGAGAGAGAGAGAGAGAGAAGAGAGAGAGAGAGAGAGGGGATGAAAGAGTGAAAGACTGAGAGAGTGAAAGATTGAGGGTGAAAGAGGAGTTTTTGTTTGTTTTCTTTTGAGCTTATCGTCTGATGAATCAAAGAATCATTTTTTATTTTTTTTTCCAGAAAAGGGGAGTGGAGGAGGAGGACTAGAGGAAGCACAGCTCAGACTGTGAGTTGGGTTTTGCTCAGATTTCTTGCTTGTGCATTAGGTATGCTTCTTCTAGCTGCTCCATTCTCTCATTCTGTACTTTTGGAATGGTTTTTCAATGTTTTGTGCTTGAATCACATATTTGCATTGCTTGTTCTGTAGTGGGTTGTATTTTGTTTTCCCATTAAATTTGAAATGGGAGGAATAATTAGCTGGTTTGCTCAATTGTAGAAGACAAAGTTTGCCAAAGTAATGTTCTTGCAGAAATATTTTTTTAAATAGTTTTGAGTTTCTGGCGTTTATGGGAAATTGCTGGTCTGCTTTTAGGGATTTGGTTAGGTGAATGCGATGATTTTGCAAAGATTGGGAGAAAATGATGGATTCCTTAAATTGGGTTCTTTTTTATTTCGATTTGGGTGTGCTCAAAAGTGTGAAGAAAGTCCTCAATCTTAGTATTAGCAAATAACCTATTAATCCAAGGGAAATAAGATAACCAGTAAGTAAACATGGAGTGGTTTATAAATGTCACAACATATATTTGTTAATGCAGGAGTAAAGGGAAAAAAAAGTTTGTACTTACTCCTCATAGGCAACATGCTACCTGTATGAAAATACTTGAACAAATCTGTTTTGAATTCAGGGCATTGTTCATGCTATCGATTTTCTTTTTCTTTTTTTTTTTCATGCTCTCTGTATGTAAATTTTTGTGACTAATTGTGTTATGTAATGTTAGTTTATTTCAGTTTGCAGATATGTTTATTAACTTATTAATTGAAGTCCTTCATGACATTTTTTTTCTGCATTATTTTGTGTAGACTAATGACTCGTCTAAGTTTGTCCACAAAGAAGAAAGTACATGCTGCGTTGAATGTGTTGATTGTCTATCTTCGAACTATATTTGTTGCATATGCTACTTCTTGTTTCTATTCTTGGTATCGTTTCCAAAAGCGCCTTAGAAGTCCCTCACCTTGTCAAACAGTTATAAGAGTTTACAAGCAATTAGAATACTTACATGGTTTAATTTATAAGAGTGATGTGACATGTATTGCTGAACTACGAATGGATAGACGATCCTTTCATAGATTATGTCAAGTTCTTGTGACTAGAGGACATCTACGAGCTACTCGAAATGTGTCTATAGAGGAGATGGTTGCATTTTTTCTATACATTCTTGCACACCATCTTAAGAATCGCACAATCAACCACCACTTTAGAAGGTCTGGTCGAACAATTAGTAAGTATTTCCATGAGTGTATTAAAGTAATGATTCGATGCCAAAAGGATTTCTGGCAAACACCTAAGCCTATCCCTGAGAACTCAACTGACACAAAGTGGAAATGGTTTAAGGTATGTAGTATCTACATGCCTACACTACTCAGTAATTACTAGCTTTTTATTTCATAGTTTAGTTTGTTAATTTAGTGTCCTATATACTGTAGAATTGTTAGGTGCACTAGATGGAACACCTGTTAAGGTGCATGTACCAGAATGTGATAAACCAAAGTACGGAACAAGGAAAAATGAAATAGCAACGAATGTTTTAGGAGTCTGCACTCCGGACATGCAGTTTATATATGTTTTACCTGGATGGGAAGGGTCCGCACATGATGGTCGAGTTCGTAGAGATGCTGTGACTAGGAGAAATGGATTGAAAGTCCCTAATGGTAACACTCACAACTTTTTTTAGTAATTAAAATTCTTAGCTTTTGAATTGCAAGTGATATAAAGTTGTAAGTTTGACAATTTAATTCTTTGTACAATAGGTTGTTACTATTTGGTTGATGGTGGCTACACAAATGGAAAAGGTTTTCTTGCACCTTATAGGCGAACCCGTTATCATTTGAATGAGTGGAGAGATGGTTATCGTCCTACAACACCGGCTGAGTTTTTTAATATGAAACACTCAAGTGCTCGGAATGTCATTGAAAGGTGTTTTGGGCTATTGAAAATGCGTTGGGGAATCCTTAGGAGCCCATCCTATTACCACATTAAGACATATCGTCGCATAATTTCAGTGTGTTGTATGCTCCATAATTTTATAAAGAGGGAGATGGTTGTAGATCCTATAGAAGCCGATGCGGATGGGCAATTTCAAGATGGGAATTCAGATGCAAATAACTATATTACCACTGTTGAGTCCTCAGATGAGTGAACTGCATGGAGGGATAACCTTGCCCAAGAAATGTGGAACAATAGGGCGGTTCATTGAGTCGGTGTTTGATGTGTTTGTAATCATAATCATTTGGAATGCTTATGTCTAATACTGTTTGTGTAATAACATTTGGAATGTTGTATTTGTTTCTAAGTTAAGAAAGACATCCTATTTGTAATTGAAATCATTTGAAATGCTTATGATTTCTAATATTGTTATGTAGAATGGCTTCTGTTTCATCTGTGAAACAAGGAAGGGGACAACATAAACACTATTGGACAACTACTGAGGATACAATATTGGTTGAATCATTGCTTGAGTTGCATGGTGACCCGACTTGGCGAGCTGACACTGGTTTTAAGAATGGTTATTGGGGAAGATAGAAGTTATGATGGAAGCCAAACTCCCAAGATGTGGATTAAAGGCGTCTCCCCACATTGAATCACGCATCAAGACTTTGAAGGCAAAATATTTTGCCTTAACTGAATTGCTAGCTCTCAGTGGGTTTGAGTGGAATGAAGAGAAAATGATGTTGGCTTGTGAGAAAAGTGCGTATGGCGAGGCTACGAAGGTTTGCATATATCTGATTGTATTTTTTGTTTTATCTGATTGTGTTTTGTTTTTAGAATCTCAGTTCCTTGATTAATTACACTGAGTTCAAAATCTCAGAGTTAATATCATCATCTTCTTAATTACGAATCAGGATAATGCACTAACAACATACATAGAAAAAGAAAAACCTCCATGGGAGGTAATTCCAAGTTCTTTACTGACACCATCACCATACACTCAGAAACCACTTGAAGCTAGATATTAGAAGGATTACAGTGCACATAAACAAAAACTGAGACTTGTATGAAAGACATAGCTTTTTAAATACCAGCTCTTTCATACTGTAAAGAAAAAAGAGTTATGACAAACTTATAGATGATCTGTTGATTTGCCAGCTTGTGTGGCAACATAAAAGAGTATATATATATATATATATATATATATATATATGTATATCTTTTCGGAAAGGTTCACCCATCATCCCTCTGAAAAAAGGAAAAACTTAACATTGTTTTTTTGTTTTCCATAGCTAGAACACGTCAAAACATCCTGCCCTGTCCATTATTAATTGTTCTGCCTCTTGTCCTTTCTTCAAAGATCGATTTTTCACTTTTTCCTCTTTACGCTGCCCTCTTCATCTTGTAATAGACCAAGAATTAATATATTGTATTACACGCCTTGTGTTTTGTGTTTTTTTTTAGGGTAAAAAGGATGCAAGTGGATTGTACGATAAGCCTTTTCCGCACTACCACAGTTTGGGAGAGATTTATGCAAAAGATCGTGTTGTGGGTGCAAATGCTGGTAACGCTGATGACGATGAAGAAGAAGTTAGACTTGAAGATGCCAATGTCAATCAACATGAAGGTGAGGATGAAAGTGGAAATGACTTTGATATTTCTTTCTCAGTACCAAATACCCAACAACAAAGGAATGCAGAAAGTAACACATCAAACATTAGTCGCAAAAGGGCAATAGTAGCGGATGAAATGGCCAAGCAATTCTCTATTATGGCTAAAGCTATATCCGATGTGGGACCTAAGATTGATGGTCTAGTTCATGCACTGTCAACCGATATAAATCTGACCGAAATGCAACAAAAACTTGACAGTGAGTTGACCAAAATGGAGTTTTTGTCTCCCATGGATTTATTTAAAGTCACTAACTTCTTGGCCAAAGAACATGACCTTTTGAGGGTGTTTTTCAACATGTCTGATGAAAGGAAGAGTGCATATGTGACTACTTTGTTGCAGACTTTGATGCATAACGACATCTAAGTGATGGTCCAAATAATGTGAATGCTAGTTTTTTGCTATGACGTGCTTACTGCCATGATGACATATCAGGGAAAATTGTGAATGTTTTGTAAATCTAATGACTTATTAGATGACACCATAATGGTGAAGAACTACTTTTTGTTGATATTATGATGTTTAGGCAGGTTAAGAATATTTTGTTGACAATCTGATGTGTAGGCAGGTTATGAATATTTGATAATATGATGCATACGCAGGGTATGACAAGTTTGCTTAGGTTGGTTATGGTGGTTAGATAGATGTACTTTAATGTAAAAATATTAACTTTAATGAAGTTATTTCCTACTCTTTGTTTGTTACTAATATTTTTTTCTTCATTTATTTACTATTATACAAAATCCACCTCTTGAAGATCACTTTAGTTCAAGGGGAATCAAGTTTTTTGATTTGAAATGGTAAAACAAAATTTCTTCTACTCCTTGACATTATGTAGCAAAATATATTCTTGAAGAGTTAAGACTGAAAATGCTCCTAACAATTTCTTTCCATGTCCTTCTTGCTCATTAAGCATAATTCTATGCTCATTCACATTATGCACAACCAGTGGCGGAGCCAGGAATCTTACCACAAGGGGTCGTAGTGTAAAAGTCCAGAAAAAAAATTTAGGATGGAAATGTTAAAGTTAATGCTTTACTTAAACTGATTATGTGTAAAATGGCTGACTGTTGCCTTTATCAGTCGACCCATTCTATTTATCAGTCGACCAAATTACTTCAGTCGGCTTATGTATTGAACTAATTCTGTGTAAAAGGGCTGACTGTTGCTTTTATCAGTCGACCCATTCTATTTATCAGTCGACCTAGAGTAAATTCAATCGATCTAAAGTAACTCTGTAAATACATGCAGAATCATTTTGTTACTCAATGCAGAATCAGTTTGTTACTTCATGCAGAATCAGTTTGTTACTCAATGCAGAATCAATTTGTTACTTCATGCAGAATCAGTTTGTTACTTCATGCAGAAACAGTTTGTTACTCAATGCAGAATCAGTTTGTTACTATTATATACTATATCAAATTTTATTAAAAAAAAGTATGTAAAATATTTGATTTGGGACAAGGGCATTTTAGTAATCATACTGGTTTATATTCTGATTATGCTGAATTAGTAAACAGCTTTATGGAATTGTATTCCGATTCCAGACAGTTTTAGTAAACAATTTCAACAAGAATCTGATTTTGATTCCACCTCATTTCAATTCCTCCTCAATCAAATTCATCCTCAATCCGATTCCTCTCAATTTGATTACGGATTAGTAAACGCGCCAGTACTCTTTATCGCTTCCGCTTTGCGCCCATGGCTACGTCACTTTCACGTAACGGCCAGCACGTCTCGATTCCGGTCGGGGTGTGTCATAAAATTACTAAAATCGTTTTTAAATAAAATGTTTTTAAATTCTAAAAACACTTGAAATACTGCATACAAGAAGCGCTTGTTATATGCTTCTTATAGCAAATAATTCAAGTATCTTTTCAAGATTTATTTTCATTTTACTGAAAATTGGTTTAAAAAATATCTTCATAAAAAATATTTTTTAAAATAAAAAAATTAAAAAAAAAAACTTTTAAAAGATCTTTAAAACACCATAAAATTTCGAAAACTGAAACGCATGAATAAATACTTAACACTTTATCTATTAACATATTTGATCCCATGTCATTTTCACCAAATTAGACACAATATCTTATTTTATCTTAAAAACATTTCTACATGCAACGCAATCGAAAAATAAAAGTGAAAGACATTATTATTGTTAGTGGAAGAAGCATCTCCTAATCTCAACTATCAGCTCATCCCATATTATCCCAACATTCATATCACGACAAAACCCGCTCCCGGACGGTGCGTCGGCCTACACGTAGCAATACGACAACACCCCATGTCGTCACACGCCACCACACACGTCACTCACTTACCAAAGCAGTCGCCGTCAGAGCGCGCCACGCGGCGTTGATAAAATGATGCTGATCTGATCCCAGAAACCTTGATTCTCGAACATGTCGTTTTTAGTGCATTTTTTTTTTATTTTGACCAAAACACGAATACGGGTAGTATATTCTGTATTTTTATATAAGTTGTGGGAGATTTTATTTTTGGGAGTTTTATTGAAAAATCCATGATACTGTTTACTTTAATAAAAAATCATATTTTTACATTAAAAAGTCAATCATTGTACTATTTATTTTATCTTTTATTTTGTCTTTATCGTTAAAACTCAAAGTTTTCAAACATTTTTCATTAGTTTTCCTTTTATTTTTTAAGTTATTAACTTTTTAATCCACATATTTCACTATTTATATAATAACATGTGATGTAACACCCTACGTACCGGTAAGCCTGAAAAATCTTTCGTGTTTAGCACGTTTGCAAGCCCTAGATTCTTGCCTTTGTCTCTCCTGCCGACGACTGGGTGACGTGGACGTCGCTTTCGTTTCATTATTTTTTCTATTTTTTTAATTCTCCCCACGTCACGAGGAAGCAGTCAAACACACAAGGGTTTGTGTTTGAATTAATCTTGAGTCATTAAGCAAGCACACATGTCATGCGATCATCGATGATTCGATCTGATCGCCTGTGGGTCAACGCTCTGATCTTCTTCTTCTTTTTTTCAATAAAAATTATGTTATTGTTGAGGTAAATATCCATGGTGCGACATGAAGATCTTGTGTATATTTCATCGAAAATATTATAACTAAATGAAATTTTTATACTTCAGAACTTTAACAGAAAGTTTTCGGTACTGTTTATTTTAACAAAAAATTACGTTTTTACGCTAAAAATTCAATCCTTATACTATTCATTTTATCATTTATTTTGTCTTTATCGTTAAAATTCAAAGTTTTCAAACTATTTTCATTAATTACTTTTTTTATAATTTCTATCTGAATTCCGCTATATGAATTAGTCAAGTGTTATGATTTTAAATACATAATATTTATATTAAGAAGCTTCATGATCACATGATTAAGCTGTACTGAGACAGACGTGAAACCTTCGTTGTGACAATCAAGCATTTTTCCTTAAACATGTGTTTAATTATGGTAACCATTATTGTAACTAAATGTTAATTCGTAAGAATATGCGTGAATACGATGGGTAGTTTGTTTTCTTGTTGGAAGAAAAGAAAGTTAGGTTTACCCGATGACAAGAAGAAAAGACCTAATTGGATTATTGCGTGGAAATGAGCAAGTAGATAGGAATTATAAAAATAAATAATTTGGAGTGCTTCCTTTGAAAAATCAAGAAAAGTTGGTTTGTCTAGACATGGAACTCAAAATAAAACTAAAATCCACAAGTTG